CGACGCNCTCGAAAGAAGAGCAGGACGAGAAGACGCGCCTCGACGACGGCGGCCGCGCGCGCGACGTCGCCGACGCGCAGCAGCCGCAGCCGCCGCGGCGCGCACGGGCGCGCAGCCAACGGTGCGCGCGCGATGGGGCGCGCGCCCAGCAACAGCCTGAGCCGGTCGTCCTCGGGGGAGGTCGCATCTCCGGTGTCCAAATACGCCGTGCAAAGGAGCCAGGGATCGCTGGACCAGGCGGCTATGGTGGCGCTGTCGTCAGCAGCGCTGGGCAATCTGACGGTGCGGACGTCAGCAAAGGAGCGGCCGGGGGAGAAGCCCGGGCGGGGAAGGGCGGCGTCGGCGGACGTGCAGCCGGGGTCGCCCTGGCCCATCGCGGCGTCTGCACAACGAGCGCCGGTACGGCTCTCTCGACTGGACACGCCACTTGCATTCTTAGCTGCATCAGCATAAATCCTCTCTCTGCACATTACTTTGTAAAGTCAGCATCCCGTGAGTGCAACCTATCTAGCTCGACATCTGGTATAGTGAAGTTGGCTGAAAAAGGATGGAGAGTCCTAAGAAGAGCACCAGACCTACCTTGATTGATTCGTCAGTTGAGCACGAAGCTGTGCGCCGCCAGACTTTTCTGTGTACGCTGAGAGAGAAGCTTCTTTTCGTCCGGAACTTCTTTTTCCCCTGACGTCGTTACCTCTGCTTCGCAGTCCTCCAAGCCCCCCCTTCCCACCCCGCCCACCCGCGCTTCCTCCGTCAGCGCCGCCATTCCGTTTCCGTCCAGCCCGCCTTCCGCTTCCGCCGTCAACAGCCGGTTGAGCGCCAGCGGACCTCTTCCGACGTCAGCCACAGCTTCCGCCCCGGTCTCAAACGGCCAATCGCCCACGTCACCCATCGCCCGGCGATCGAATTCTCTGCCCAGTGCCGGGCAACCCCCGCCTAATCTGGGCGGCTCTTCGTCTTTCCACCAGTCAAACGGGCCAAGCATCGCGGCCGGCAGATTAGCTACCGGGCAGTCCCCCGGTCAGACAAACTCTGGTGGAAAGGCTTCGGTGTCGGCAGGCGTTTCGCTGAGTAGCCCTGTTGCGAAAACGGCGAGCACAGGTTCGAGCAAGGCAGGGCTAGCTGCGACAGCAAGTACGTCCGGGGGTGTGGCGGCCGGCTCGCCTAAAGCCGCGAAACCTGCGCAGCCCAGGTTCGGTTTTGGGTCGTCTAGCGTAAAAGTCACGACCACGCCAATAAGTTCGTCAGCCGCGGGCGCGGGGGGAACCGCGGCTGATGCGTCGGCAAAGGCCGGTGATGGCTCCAGTAAAATAGGGTCAGTAGCGGGTCTAGTCAAGTCCGGAAGTATAGGTGCGGACAAGGTGGGGGTTCAAGGGGTGAAAAAACCAAACCCTGGCATTGCACCTCGAACGAGTGTTCCGGCCTCGGGGCGGAAACCGTTCTGATGCGGAAGCGCGGATGTCGAAAGGTATGGGCATATAGGAACTTAACAAAGAGCAAGGTAGGAAGCCGTATTGGCTGCATGCAGGTTGTGGATCAAAGAAGCTACCCAGCGGCAAAGGTGTAGAACGAATGGTTGGTTCGGCAGCAGCTTCGAGAGGTGTTACTCATCTTTTCTTGTGTAACTTATCCTGGAAAAAGAGCCGAGGCAATAGTTAGCCTGCTCATCATAGTAAGGGTCGTCCTAAACGTTCGACTTTATATAATAGGAAGCTGTTGTACCATAGGTCAAGGACAACAACGGAGAGTCATTGGATAGAATCGAAATGCTGGCAGGTGGACGTGAAATCGGAAAGCAAACACCAAGTCCGACGCACGTGGTACTGTTCAAGAAAGTATGACGTTAATGCTCATGCCTGGCGTGCGCCGGCCTCATCATGCAGTGGCAGCAGAGGGTTAAGCTGGTAAGTTCACATGCATAGGTATACTGCGTACGCAAGTTCAGCAGTCACGGTGTTGCCATGGTTGCAGTTTCACTCTGCAGTGGCCTAAGATGATGTTTCAGCGGCCGCCTGCACAGTGTGATGTAATAAATTCGATCCGACGGACCGTCATATGCATGCACTTTAATGAAAGTCCAATCCGTTATGCACATACCCGAGTCGAGCTGGTTATAGCTATAAAACTTGATTCCGAGTGATCTGCTCTGGCTGATCAAAACTTGGCAATGAGTCCTAGCTAGCTAGTGAGATGGTCGAATCCGTACACTTGAGTCAGTACGTACGTAGTTGGCTTTCAACTTTCCCGGCTCGATCAAAGCTCAACGTCACGTAAGGGCTTGGCAATGCCCTTGATCAGTGTACACATTGTAATGATGGGTGGGTCGGACGGCAACAAGCAATGATCGTTCCTTCTATATGCGTACGCAAAATGTCATGAGATGATGAGGTATGTAGTAGCATATAATCATTCGCAAGGGGCGTTAGCCTCTGATGCAGCTAGATGCCCCCGGGTTCAAATGATTCATGGCTGCCCCGAGGCGGCCATTGACAAACAGTTTCTCAAATTGGAGGCAGGAGAAAGGTGTTCTCATGAAACCTGTGACAAAAGGGTTGAGATCGGTCAGAAAGAACCAGAGATTTGACACGTGCATCCACGTCGCTGGCAGGATGTCTAACAGAATCAGCCCGCACCTCAGCCAGAGACTATCGAAGGTCGACCTTGAATGGGCTCCGACTAGGTAGAGCAACATATCCGGAATAAGATGAGCAGGGCTAAAAACAGAAATGAACTTCATACCTGTATTCTTACTTAGAAAAAGTCCTTGCAGCTTTCTTTTGTCCATACGTGTTCTGATCCGACACGATAAGAAGGCGATAGGGCCACTGCCATTCTTAGTATTCTTATCCCCTCATGAGTTTCTAGTATTTGCCCCACAGTCTGTATTGTCCTACTGCTCAAAATCGGTCTCGGGCGATCGAGTCAAAGTTAGACACCAAATAACTTTCAGCTGATATCGAGGTACTTCATCTCAGACTGCCGCTGTTATGAGAGCTTGCAAACGCTTTCAATGACCGCGCACATGCAACTTTGTTTCGTGGCCCATGTCACCGTTACCCGATTCTACAGATGGCGGACTCAGACGTTCTCGGGAAATGTGGCGTCGCCAGAGGAAGCCTGTCCTGCTTCGCAAAGGACAATGCTCAAATGCCTCTTTCAGCTTCTATTTGAGCATCCTCTTTCGATCAAAGTTCTAGATTGTATCAGGTTCACCGAGCTTTACTTGCTTCCATTTTCCAATCGTTTTCCACGCTCGGGTTTTGCGGAATCCTGTGGTTCTAAACCCATGTCGTCGGAGATCCGAGTTTTGGGACCCTAGCTAGTTTTGGGACTTCAGCTAGTCTGCAGTGTCTGCAGGTGGTTTATTCCGTTCCGTTCGTTTCGCGTTTTCGAAGCAGGTTGCAGTACAAACCAATTGTATGATCTTGCACTCGGCAATGAAGCGCGACGACTCAGCGCCAGCAATACTCCTTGAGACAGGGTCTTGAGATCGACGGACAAGTCAGACGATTGCTGAATAATTTCAACTTGCGTCGGCCACAAACCCGTCTCTTATCGTGTTCTCGAAGCAGAATTCAAAGTGGGACTCGATCACAGCAGGAAACAGGGAACGACGTCATCACCCGGAGAAGGCTGGATCCAGGCATGTTGGGCGGCAAGCATCAGATCAGGCTCCGTCAACTGCAGTTGTCCGCAACTTGAAGGGGACCCGAACACGCACTAGGACAAATGAGGATTGCGACGTGGTGCGCTCCAGCTACAGTAGGAAGCCGCGCGTGCCAGCGCCGCAGCGCGCGGTACTTTTTCCACACTGTGCTGCGCTCGCGGCCGCGTCGGTTGCTGCCTGAGAGCCGGGCGGTGTGCGCTCGTGCGCGTTCGACGGAGCGCGCGTCTTGAACTCGGACGGTAACTCAGAAGGACACTGTTGATTGCAAGTAATTTCGAAACAAGATTGAAACAGCATCTGCGCCTGCTACTCAGCGCTCAGCAAGCGTTGCAGAATGAACAGAATGGATCCCACCGGCGGCGCCAGCAAACCAAGGGGTGAGAGTCGTGCTGATGCCGTGAAGCCTTTGCAGCCAAGGATCTTGCCGAAAAGTTTCTCAAAGCTCGGTGTGGAAGAGATGAAAAAGCGCCTAACAGAGAAGGAGGACGTGGATCTAGACCTGCGCAAGCCAGAAAGCAGTGCATGGCTTTCCAATATTCTCAAACAGGTGCAGTCCAAAGACAGTGAAGCAAGGGCCTTCGCCTTATTACGATTCAGAGCAGTTCTGAGCCGCATGGTTGTCACCAAGGGACCTGAGGTCAGCGTGGGTCTTGCAGCTTATGTGCTGGAACAGGGCATGCTGGATGAGGTTCACAGGATACTGAAAGCAGCGCAGGCAGAAGGCGACTTCTACATCTTCCCGAAGACCAGCAGTCAGAATAAGATGCGTTATGCAGAACATTTCGTGGTGTCAAAAGTGGACATCTGCTTCAGGCTGCTTCATGTCCTCATCCTGGACGCACGAACAGCACGTTTCGTCCTGAAGGGCATCCCTGACCTTATCTCGATCCTCGAAGGAGCCTACTTTAATTCCCTTTCAGCGGTATCTCTCGTCAAAGACTCAACCCTGGTACCGGAGTCTGCTTACTTGAATCTTCTGAGAGATGACGTCAGGGCTTTCAGTATCTCCGCGCTAAATTCCCTTGCTAGTCACTCTTGTCGAAGTAAGGAGCAGTTGATCAGGCGAAAAGTCCTCCTCCATCAGATTTTGCAGGACTGCATGGCTGGAACAGAGTTTTCGAGCCGAATGGTGGACTGTACTCTCCACTGCTTCAGCAACCTAGTTTCCGCGTGCGATCTCTCGGAATACCTGGATGACATCATCAAGCTCGTCTTGAGGACTCTAGCGGAGACTCAATCCGCAGTTCTGATCAACATCGCCGTTCATCTCTTGGGTTCGATCATGAGGAAGGGTCAAGCGATGGCAGTGATAGACAAGCTCAGTGAGCTTAGAGCCAGTGCACAAGTGAAGCAATTCGTCCCGGCCCTCTTGGCATTAGCAGCCTGCCCAGATCTTGACGGCGAAACCAAGCTTCGTGTCTGCCTGTTGCTTGCGTTTCTGGATGAGGGTATCAAAAGGATTCTGGAAGAGCAGGCGTACAAGTAGTGACGCCAGTAGAGCAAGAGAAGCTGGAGCAACTGGTACGCGCATGTCCTAGTGCGATGGCAAGGAGGGAACAGCTGCGTCAGGTTTTTGCAGCTGATGAAAGCGACGGACCCTTACAGGAAATTTCTCAGGACCAGGATGCTTCGGCTACTTTCTTTCAGAACACCATCGACACTCCGCTCAACCACGTGGAAAGATTACGCGTGTCGTACATACCAGAGAGGGACATGAAGGCACACGAGAGGCCCTGCAGAAAATGCTCTCGCGCAGGCTGCTCAAATGTGGAGTCTATCTCGTGCGAGTTCAAGGTCTGCAGCGGGTGTCGTCTGGCGGTTTATTGCTCCAGAGGTAAGGCCTTCGAGCTTGTATCAAAGACTCATCACAAAGTCTACTAGAGGTCTGCAAGTTAAGCTTTTTGTTGCTTCTGGTCTCTCTGCCGAAAGTAAGCATCGAAGACAGTAAGCTTGGAAAGTAAGCCTCTAGACCCGAAGCTTTTCAGTCTCTTGAACTTTCATCTTAAGCACTGTCTTACTCTCCTGATTATCTTCTGCATTGACCCCAGAACTTTCAATACGCTCGAGGATAACAGGCTATGATAGTCTTGATGTGGGGAGGTTCAGTTTGGGGGGCAACCGAAAGATTCACTTAGTGAAGGAAGGAGTAGTCTGATTGGTCGCCGTGGGTGTTGCAGATTGCCAAAAGTTCGCCTGGAAGGAAGGGCACAAGTCGCGCTGCCAAGCAGGGAAAGGCGGACAGCGCCATACCCCTGCGAAGGAAGTGTCCTTCGAGCGAGAAGTCAACCAAGGGAGCGGAAAGCGTGGAAGGAAAAAGGGAGTCTGCCAGATTGTGGTGAACAACGTGGTGCAGCTGCGGGCATTGCAAGAGAATGGTCTGTGGAGAATCGAGTCTGTGGGAGCTGACCAATGTCACGGCGGCCAGAGTCTCGTACTTTATTCACGAAGTACTGTCTTCGTCAAAACGAGTTGCTCGAGTAAGCCACTGCAGTACCTTTCGATGTCTTGGCGCGGCAACCTGTCATATGAATGATCCATCGTTCTAGATTTGCACGAAAGTCAATCTCGGAACCGGATCTGCATGATGCACCTTGCTCAAGCGCACAACATATCTGGCCTGAGGCAATCGGCAAACAAAGATGCGGTTCATCAATTATTGAGAGCTCTGGCCATGCAATTCAACAACAATACGGGCAACAATCCTCCTCTAATCAACAGTAGACGGGTCGTTGCCAACATAGCTGGGCTTTCTCGCGCTTCTCCTTTTGGCCGCTTTCATTGGCTACTTCCAGTACCCTCATGCAATGAAGCTGGTAAGAGGCAGCCTTATTTCCTTGCAAGAATAACCGCAGCTTGTGATTCGTAAGAGCACCATTTCTACACGTTCACATAAATTCACTTGTTAGAGATTGCACATCTCTTACTTCCGTACAGCGAGAGCTGAGCTTTACAACATGCAAGCAGAACGCCACATAAGTCACTAAGTCTTCGCTGCCCGACGAGCTATACATATAGCATCTGTCCGCCACCTTTACTTGTATTGCACACGTCCTTAATCGAGATCACTGAAGGTTGAATTATACGCCTATATATATAATTGATTTCAACGTGCATGCATTCACGGCAAACTGGCGCATTGAAGCAATGAATACATGGATACCGTACTAACAGATTTCCTAATTGCTTGGACGGTTCTCATGCATGCAGGTCGAAGCATGGCAATCATTATAATTATGCCAACAGACTGGCCTATGTTGGCTTGCCTCTTCCTTCGGAAGAGGGGAGATATAGGGGACGCCGATTTCGGCGCTGTATGACGCCGCGGCGCGGCCCTGGCGATCGAGGCGCTTCGACCTTGCTCGATTGGCGGGCGTTCGACGATAAAACGTACAGGAAAAAGGAGAATAGTTCCCATAAAACGTTGAAAACCTTTGCCAGACTGGCGCGCAATGCGGCGTAGATGCTCGATTTCGCGTCGATGCATTGGCGTCATGTTGAGTGGGGCGCTATGGTTGGATGTCGCCTGATTTATGTCGACGCTTAGTTGTGTTGGGCGACCAGCAGGTGACTGGCATTTATGAAATGTAAATGCAGCGGCGTGTGGGATTCCCCTCGATGATTGTTTGTGGCCGTCCGTCGAGGATTCATCGTGCGGTTGAAAAGTGTGTGCCCTGTCTGGCCGCTGCTTCCGAGCAGCCGTCGGAGCTTCGATGGCGACCATTGTCCGCTGTACGACATGGATGCGTCGCCTCAGAATGGTGTGGCCCTTGATGCCATGTTTGTGGGCCGTCCGTCGAGAAATAATCGTGCGGTTGAAATTGTGCATGCGTTGTTTTGTCGCTGCTTCCGAGCAGCCGCGACACCGCCGCGACATCAAAACGATAGCCTAGCTGCTTATTTCGTCGCCGCTTCCGAGCAAGGGTGCTTCGACAGCTTCGCCGTCGAAGTTCGTGCATGGAAGGGTACCGACGTCGAAACTTCCAGACTTCGAAACTGAGACTTGTGTACAGGCTCCTCTGCCCGGGTCGTCTCTGTGTGCTTAATTCCAGCCGGTCGATAAATCGGAAGAGGCAAGCCTTGGCCGTCGCCAGACGGCCCCAACATGTATGTTACAATTGTCGATCCAGCTCACATGCAATTGGTTGCTAACGGAGTCTGTTCATCATGTCGAAGTGACCATGGGCCGCGGCCGCCAGTTCATTTGTACAGGACTTCGTGAGCGGACTGCGCGGCGTGGCAAAATGGGCGTTTCCCCTAGCTGGGGCACGTTTCCCTGAAGGTTTCGACCTTAGGGATTGCATATTCGATCGGCATGCCATCCAATGGAAATTGTTAAGCCGTGGTCTACGATTATGAAACAACGCACAATCAGCTCATAGCACATGCAATCATTGCGTAGTCATCGGCCTTTGCAAGAGGGAAGGTAATGCACTGATCATCGGACTACGTCAGCAAGATCTTGATGTCGATCATCTTTGCAAGCGCAGCGTAGCATGCGCAAAGCATTGGCCAGAGCGATCCAGCCCGCCAAGTATGAGATGCGTTCAAAAGAAGCTTTGGTCCAATCTGTCTCAGCAAGCCCGAACATTTCGGAACTTTATACTCGAACTTGTGGAGGATCTTAGTTCCGTGTAAGCCAGTAATGGAATGGTGAAGAGGACGTAAAGATGTCGTCTTTGTCCCTTGCCTACGAGTACAATCCGGGGGGGTCTCAAAATCATCGAGCGTTCCGCTGGCCACTTCCGCTTTCGACCGCTTCAATCAGGTTCACCTCAAAAGAAGAGGGACAACTCCAGGGACTTCCAAGAGTCTGACTTGCCGTCGTTCGACGAAAGAGCGCTCTCTGCACACCTACTCAGCTTCCGCAAATTATCTCGTCAAAAATGTACTTGTCCCGTCGCTCTCCTCAGATGAGCCCCCGGGACGCTATAAGTGCTCCAATGAGGACGAGCGGCGCCCCGACCATGGCCAGCGCGAAGACCGTCGACTTGCTCGCGTCGCGCGCGCTCTGCTCGACCTCCGCGGCGGACGGCGCGTACGTGTTGTCGTAGCCGTTGCTGAAGCGGCTGAGGTACTTCTGGTACACAGACGGGTCGTGGAACTTGATCTTGTTCTTGCTGAACTTGAGCTTCTCCGCCGCCTGAAGGCACCCAACGGCAAGACTCGGGTTGGCAATTCGGAGTCAGGAGTTAGCGGAGTCAAGGGCAGCGGCGTCGTGGACCAAGAAAAAGGTCATAGCTTGTTTGGGGTGGTTTTAAATTCAGAAACCCGCGACTTGCAACTACAACACTGCTCTGGTACAGACTGGCTGCTAGGGGTTATCGTATGCTTGCTGTTTCAGACGAGCAGCGATCAGAAGCACTAGTGGCCGCGAAGAACCAGATTTCGCTCAGTAGAGATGAAGTCCAGCCAACATAAGTGTTTTTCTCAGTCGAAGACTGTCAACGTTAGCATCTGAAGTTCTGCCCTATAGATCAGAGGCTATCAAAGAGACTGCCGACGAGTGGAGCTATGGTTTACCCGTTGAAAGTCGGTTTTGATGGTCACCCGTCCGAAGTCGTAACCATTCAAAACGAAGCGCACCAGTGCAACGGTTGCTGGCGTTGCGTTTGTCGGCATCTTGAAACAGTGATGCTCGCTCGAGTATTTCAAGCACTGCCATCCTCGAGACTGTCCGCTCCAACCCAAGCCCGGTGCAATAAGGATTTCCACATACTTGCCTCTCGAACTTCTAAAAATGGCACCGCCTCCAGCAGAGGTAGAAATTCACAGACAAGCAACGCTCAAACTCGCAGGTATTGGCCCCCTGTAAACCCCGCTCCAACACAACTCCCAGTACTTCGGCGCACTGGGTTTTCGACGTGCCCCCACGCCTCACCTGAAACCCGAACAGCATTTGCCCCGCCTTCCTCGAGATGTAAGCCTTCGGGTGCTGCGCCAGCTTCTCGTACAGCGGCCGCGCCGCCTCCGACTCGCTCAACGAATCCAACACCACCGCCTTGTTCAGCAGCGCCGCGCCGTGCACCTCCGACTGGAGCACAGAAAATTTGAATCGTTCTGTTTCCATTTTAGAACGCCAGCGACTCACATTTGAAGCAGAGAAGGAACGGATGATTTTCAATGAAGTGAGCCAGCGACACCCAAGCGGAGGAAGAACGAAAGTTTCTTTCTTTGAAGAGAGCCAGTGACTCCAAAACTGACCAAGCGGGACCGGTGTGGGCCTTGACTGGCAGCTTCGGAACGTGTTTGATTTGCTCAAGCGGCCCTTGGTCAATTCGTCGACAATCTGCATGTCCTCAACTCGGAGGACGTTGTTGGGCGGACCCGAAAGTCGCGAGCAGTTGAAATCGATGGACGGGGAACGTCGAAACCTTTGAACGACTCAATCAAGCACGTTCTGAACCGACGGTGGTAGCGGATGAAGGGCTACAGTCTGTCGAGCCCAGTCAGACTTTGAAAAGCAGAGCCGGTGTAAACTCGCACATGCACGCTCTTGGAAGTGAAGGGGTTGTCCGGAGTTCGATGATCGTTCCTTTTCCGCGTTTCCCAAGTGACACTGGCTGACGTTCGAGGGTAGAAGAAGCCCAAGTGAGCAATTGCTTTCCAGCATTCCAGACACACCCTAGATGAAAGTACTAAGAAACGAGAAGCGCGGGGAGGCCTCGTGGTGCGCGTGCTCACTCTGAAGGGCGTCTCCTGGACAACCTCGTCAAAGTAGACGAGCGACTGCCGGAGCGCCCCGCGCTTCATCAATGCCTCCCCCGCAGCAAGCGCCTAAAAGGAGTCAGCAGACGAGGTTCACAGTCAGACGCAGTACAATTGACGATTTCCACAAGCACAGCTCAGACGCAACGGAATGACGTCTCTTCAGTTTCAGAGCTCTCGTAAATTCACACCATCCATGCCTTGGAAAAATTTCTTCATTTACAAATTCCCCCCTCGTCTACAGTCCTTGGCATCTCTGCAAGGGTGGCAAGATTACGAGCACACCCATAATCACTTCCTACCTTGATGATCTACGAGACCTAGTACCCAAACTTTTCCCGAAATATTGAGCACAGATGCTACCAAAAACGCAGAGGACATTGTGTTTCGAAGCCTGAGCGGACGGCCCACCTTCTCGGCCTTTTCTTTCAGTGCCGGCTCCATCTCGATGCCCATCTTCTTCTTGTACGCGTCAATCAGTGCCATGGTCTTCTTGTCCCGCGCCGCCTTCTCTTCGTCGCTGATCAACGCCTCACCCGGCCGGATCGTGCGCCCCCCTCCGTACTGCGCAGTCACAAAGGGTGAACGTAAGAAGAAGGTTCTTGTTCTTGACGTCTTGAAGTATGACGTCAGCGACCGTCTCACAGGCATGGGCAAGACACCCTTGGGCTTCAGGACTGAGCCAAGAAAGGATAAGGATGCGTCGCCAATGACAGGAAACGTGGCTGGGATCTCGAATTGTCGTTGGTTGGAGTATCCTTATGCAACGTTGGCTTGGATGACACATATCTCAGCGGGCCACTCACCGCCTGGCTGATGTTCTGAGGCCGCGGGAATACTCCCCTGCAATTGGGAAAGCAAGGGGGTCAAAGCGCGGATGACTGCCACGTGTCCTCTATTCGCTCATGATAGATTGCTTCTAATGACGCTCACGTACGATTCAGTGTTTCCAGCAAGAGAGGCTTACAGTGGACTGGAACGACTGAGTCGGCAATCCCAAAATAAGGATGAACTTCGGTGACCTTAAGGGCTCAAGATATATTCAGCCGCCTGGGCACGGGGGCCTGGCCAGAGCGAAAGTATCATGAAGTTATCCCATTCACAACCACAGTGGCCAGATTCGATAAAGCTCCCGATGCCCGCAACAGATTGTACTGACGCCAGAGCCACTCTTTTTGTAGATGTCTAGAACACATCAAAGGAGGTTCCAACAGGACACTTCGTCTCACCATGTCGCCACCTTGGGCTTATACTCCTCGTCCTCCTGTTGGTCCAACACCCGCTGACTCGGTGGCCCATTCACCGCCCCCTGGTTTCCCACCTCAATCTCAATTTCCGGCATATTCTCCTCGCTCGGGCGCTCCAACGGCTTAATAACATTTGCATAAGGGGACGCTTCAATTCGCCGCCGTTGTGACATCAGCAACGCCAGCTCAGGGCCGATGCCCCCTCCTTCGGATTCCTCGGGGGGCTGGATGACGTTTTCTAGGGGGTCAGGTTCGGAAGCTGCAGGCTGGACTGGGGGGCTAGGGGCCGCTTGCGCACTTTTGTACTCCAGGGCTTTCTTTTTCATTGCTTCTGTTCTGGCCTTAACCGGGTCCTCTGCAGATTCCCCGCCTGCATTGTCCTCTGACAAACTTTCACCTCCACTCCTCTCCGCAGCATCGGCAATGCTTTGTGAATCGAGTCTCGTGGTTGATTGTACCCCACTGCCACCTTGTGACAAAGCGTCCTTCGCAGCCTTGTACTCCAGAGCCTTCTTCTTCATCGCTGCTATCCTGGCTTTTACAGGATCCGTCTCCCCTTCTTCTCCCCCTGCCGAAGCGCCACCCAAGCCCTGTGCGCCCGTGTCCCCTTCCCGAAACTCTTCCGCCCGCTTCCTCTCCCCCTGCAATTGCGCCCGTGCCGCTTGCTCTTGCAACCTCGCAAACCCCTCTGCCAATCCTGCCCCAGAGGATTCAAATTGCACCTCTTCGTCTTCCTTGGGCTGGCCCGCGGTGCCTGGCGCTGGCTCCTCTTTGGGCCGCACATTTCGGCGAATGACCCCCTCCCTAGTGATGATCTCTACCTCTGGCAGCGTACCGGGGCTGTCTAATGGGCCACGACGGGAGTTTGGCGGGCCGCCAATTGCCCTTGCGGCTGCCCCCCTCTTCTGATGCGAAAGGGCACCATGAGCTTCAAGTGTAAAGGGATGGTCAGAGCCCCACCCCGAACATGCGCCACCTTGTCTCCTGAGCTTGGTCTGCAACAACTGCTCCAAGCCTCTTCTGCAGCAGCAACAGCTGCTCTGTCTTTGGGTGCTGGAACGTAAACCCTGCCGCTGCCGCCTGCCCTTTGAAGCCCTCGCAAACGCTGGGGAGGTGGGCACCTCTGGAATCGGCTGGGCAGCGCGTTGTTTAAGGCGGGGCCCAACCGCTTGCAACTGAGCGCACGTGATCCCAACTGCTTCGCACGCCATCCTGTCAAATCTGGCGGCAGGGAAAGGCTGCCACCGCTGCGCTGCCCTTGTGTTGATGGTGCCACATGCACTAGTGCTATAGCACTGTAGCAGCAAGCAAAGCGTGATCCAAGAACTCAATTTACGCGAGCTGAACACTTGAGGTCTTCCTCACTGCGTCGATTTTAAAGTTCCAAGTTGAAGAGATTGTTTGAAAGCCGATCTTCTTATGAATGACGGTAGGCCGTAAATCTGCCGGTCCTTTGTCGGGGCCCTGCCCGGATCTGGAAAATGCTTGCCGTCGGCTCACGGTTTCTTGGTCGAGCACAGGCGCTTATGCTTCTAAAAATATGCAGATTTTCGTTTGGGAGACAGACATGCCGTGAAGTTTTCGTGGAGCTCCCTAGAGCGAGGACTCCGGCTCAACATGACAAGCGACTGTATTACCTATCTGTAGACAAAACGATTGAGAGGGAGGACAGCTGAGGAAAGTCGCTGGAAGATGCTCTTTCCAGGATAGAGACTTTTTTCCTCTGTTCTTTTAACTTGCATTTTCCTGCTCTGAATGGACGCCACACGAGCTGCAACGCTGAGGCCAGCAAAGGCTTTTGCCAGAGCTGGAAGCCAAGACTTTGATGTCCATCGGAGTGTGTCCACTACACATTGTGTAGGCCGGTTGAGAGAGGAGCAGAATGGGCCACCTGTGGTCAAAGGCCTCTGCCTCCGTCCAATTTCGGGGGAGGGACTAAAGGGAGTGGCTGTTTCACGAAAAGTGGCTGCCCCTTGGATGGTCAATGCGGTGTACCGTCACAGCAGACTGGAGACAGTGGAAGATGTCTTTCAGGGGGCGGAATCCTCTCGTAAAGCTCACACAGAGAGCGATACGCACGAGCTTCCCGACCTTGACACAATATCGCAGCTGTATTTGGAGAGAGGATGCTGGGACAGCGAAGCGGAGCAGAATGAGTTGCACCACGCAGTTTCTAACATATCTCACTCTGAGAACCTGGAAGAGCAGACCTGGCGCAGCACCATGTACGGTGCGAGTCTTGATTCGTGGCCGCAAGTAAGTTGGAACAGCAGCCCTCAGCTAGCGGACCTGCCCTTCAGAGAAACCCAAGCAAGCGGGTCAGCGGAGCAGGATTCACTGGAGGGGATCAAAGGTTTCGCTAGCGGTGATGCGGATGTTGCATCACCTCTTGATAAAGTCCCCCGTCTGATAAAGAATGAGCTTTTGCGTGGAGCTCAACCCAGCGACGTCCTCGGTGGCGCCTCACGCTTCAGCGGAAGGGAGGGGGCCCTCGAAGGGCGAGCCGCAAGGCCTTGGCATGAGACCTTTGAGGGCAGGAGTGCAGATGGTGGCGCATCAGTAAGTGTGCCGCTACAAGAGAGCGCCAAGCGGAACGTGCCAACTTTTCAAGCTGCCCAGCGGACGGCGGAAAAGAAAGGTGGAAGTGAAAACGGGGCCACCACTCAAAAAACGGGGGAAGAGGGTTTGCGGGAGGAGGGGCGTCGTCGCAGGAGCCAGAGGTCACAAGTTGCAGAGGGGAGACGGTGGAGGAGTCGTGCAGGTTCTGAGTCGTCCAGTACACAACTGCGGCCCTCCGAGGCCCAGAACAACACTGAGCGGCGGGGAGCCTTGCCGGCAGAGGCGTTGAATCCGAGCAGACCCGCCAGGGCTGTACCGGAGACGGAAGAGGGGATGGACGTGCAAAGTTCGGATGAGGGGGGGGTGGAGTCGATGCAGGGCTTGGTGTTTGGGCGGGCCGGTTTGGTGGGCCTAGCCGGCTCTGCTCTTCGGTGGATGCAACGGCTAGCCCGGGCTCTGGCGGCGACCATTACGAAGTCGCTGCCCAGCTCTGTGCCAAAGAAGAGTGTTGAAGCGGTGCTGTACGGAGTAGTGGCACTGGCAGGGGTCTGGCTGTGCAAGGCCGTGCTTGAGGTGAGGGGCCGCAGGTCATAGAAGATCACAGATTGTGTTAGCTCAGACGTTGTGATGAATCGAGCATCCTGAGATCTTTAGCGACACTTTGAGAAGCGCCCACAAGTTTAGGAGGATTCTTCAAAGCTGCCACGACTCACTTACTCTGTATGTCCGTTTGGACGTGCTGCCTGTTGACGCACTTAGCCATGCAGAGGGCTCATCAGCTGGATAAGCACCAGCAACCGAGTCCCCTTTGATTACAGGTCGTTTTGACCACGGGCGCGGTCCTCTGCTGCATCCTCATTGCGGCTCGCGTATTGTGGGCTTCGAAAGAGCGCACAGCCTCCAGTAACAACGACCGTCGTCGAGACCGCAGCCCTTCTGAGGAACAAGATGATTGGATGGGGGCCCGAAATCAAGATGAGCGACATGCACCTCGAAAACGGAGTGAGTCAAAATCAAAAAGTCAAAGTGTGCTAGACTGGGCTCTCGGTCAAGATCTGGGTCCTGGGATGGAGGGCAGTCGAACCAAGTCAAGGATTAACCTTCAGAAGGAGCCCGCAATTTGGAAGCCGATGCAGGCAGGTTTCGACGAAGTCTTTGATCGAGCCAACACGCTTATGACCGCAGTTAGAGGCTCGGCAGCGAGTCTTGATCTGCTCAGCATGTTTGATATGTCAGCAGATTCTGCAGGCAATGGACCTTCGACGTATCAAAAGAGTTAAGACGATCTTTGAGAGGACGATAGATCGACATGGTTGGGTCCGGTCCGACAGGGAGTTGACTTGACCATGGGTTCCCTTTGAAGGCTCAATGGCAAGGGGGACTCCATTGTCTTCGCGAACGAAACGCTTTTTACTAATTTGGCAGGAGCGCGGCCCTGTGAGTTTTACATAATGCCCTGGATCGGGCGGCCAATTGCCGTTTTCAAATATTTGTAAATTGCAACTTCGAGCGCGGCTGGCCCGCCGAAAGACATACGCATGTTACATGTATGCATGTTGCATTCGATCGAGTCACTTGGGGCCGCGCTAGGTCATGCAGTGTCTAGTAATACACTCGATCGATTGCACATATGAGAGACCAGCCCGTTGGACACGCTCCAACTCCGAGCTCCCTATAGGAGCTGCACAGGCAGGCGTACGTGCCCGCGCCTGCCGCCGGTTGGACGTATATACACAGATCCGACTTCATGTACTCAGTAAGACTCATGCTGACATATTATGTCACTGGCACGTACCGCGCCTCGCGAAGCCTCGCCTAGCTCGCGATCAGCCGATCCCCTCGTGAAATGGAAGCGGCCGCGCGCGGCCCATGGTACCCAACTATAATGATGTCTTTCCGACATCCAAACGGTTCTTATTTGTCAAATTGCTGAATGAGCACGCCGGTGTTCCGAGTTCATCCGAGTGGCCCGGCCCTGTTCATTTTAGTCGATGGACCACCTATAGCAACCAATTCGAAAGTGACTACGTAATGTGCATCATGCCACACAGTAATGTTTGACACACCGGCACTGCAGCTCAGATTTGCATGAGTCTAGCTACAGTCAGCACTAACTGGAATCCTTAAAGATTATGTTAGCTAGCTACTTTCTACCTAGCTCCACAAGCAACTCTATTCGCCCTTGACTATCTCATCCTGCTAAATCTGGATACGTTTTGCTTACAATCTTGCTGAAACGTCCAGAAGCATCATTGCACTAGTGCTACATTATTGGCCGCGCAGATCCAAAGTGTGTGAGATAGTCAAATCTAGCTGAGCCCGCTCGGCCGTCTACGAGGAGTCCGTTAGTTCCCTACAGCTGTACTTACACCTATACTACCATCTGCGTTCTCGGTAGCATTGCTGGGCCGTGGCTATCTCCGCGGTGCTGTTCTCCGCGCTGAGGTGTTCGTGCCATGTTGCTTTGCCGTATGCCTTGGCATGTGCATAGAGAGCGCGTGCGCTCTTTTGGTTGGTATGGAGAGGTCACTTGGCTGAGCGGCTGTCGTCTGGCACCAGCTTGCTCGACTTGAAGTACAGGTAGTCCTGCTCCACTTGCAGTGCGTACCCATGTGCAACCTGCACGCACAGCCACGCATTAGCCGTCGATGATAAGCTGTAAGCAGCCTCACACCTGCTGTTTTCTCTGACAAAAAAGACAAACTTCCTTTCAGCATATCAGAGAGTTATGCTTCCCCGCCCCCACTTGTTAGCTGCTACACGTAGTATGAGTCCAGCTTTGCCGAGAGAATTTTCAATAGACGTGATACTGCGGCCCGCTCACCTGCCAGAGGAGGTCCCCGAACTCGGTGCGGAAGTGGCGCGTCAGCTGGTCCACCTCCTGCCGGAAATGGAAGCGGCCCTGCGCGAAAAGGACCACATGAGTAATGCACGGCGAAATAAAAGCCCCAGCTCTCCGTCGGCCCCCAGCCCCGAAGTCGACGATATCGGGAACGTGAAGAAGACTGATAATTCAATCATCTCGTTGCAGAAGGGAAAGTCGAGGAAACCCTGCCATACATCAATCAGCGGAAGTCAAGCATCTGTTCAGATCCCCGTCCAGCCGTCCTTTCGCATCTTAAACACCTCACATGATTCTCGTCGGACCTCTTGCTTCGCCCAACAAACGCCCTGCTTCTGACGCCCCACTCCCACATCCGGTATAGCTACTCAACTGACTTTCTCTAGCTACGAACATGACGCGCTCCACGTTCGAACCCACCCTAACCACCAGAACCAAGCCCAACCGCACCCGCCCAGCCCCGCTCACCATCTTGGCGTCGAAGTCGTGCGGCGCGTGCGCGTGCAGGGTCGCGAGGATGGTCCCCCAGGAGCGCGCCATGTGCACCCACTCGTCGCGCCCGTCCAGCAGCAGGTCCTTGAACTCCTTCACCGCCTCCACCGCCAGCGCGGGGTAGCTCTCCTTCACGGGCGTCCGCTCGCGCACGCTGAAGTGGCCGCCCCCAGGCAGCGTTAAATAGCCCAGGTACGGGTCGGTGGCGTCGGTCAGCGCCTGGCACGCGCGCAAGTGCCGCTCCCCCTGCAGGAACCGCAGCCAGATTGTCAATGTTTGCGGAACTTTTGCGAGAGGATACCTGTTTGAAAGAAGGCAGGTGGAGTGGGCAGGGACCTTGATTTGTCCATGCCAGACCGGAGATTCTAAATGCAGAACTTTCGGTATGCTTGCCTCCGCGCTTCGTAATGACAGTTGAGGGCTTCGTACAGGTGCTCTTAAACGATGTTAGCTTCGTGATCATTTGCCTTGGATGATTCTGACCAAAAGCGCGTTCCTCGGAAGACGACCGTCCTTAGATGCGCGCACTTCTGGCTCTACTGCTGACCACACTTTGACATGAGCGTTAAAGGATAGCGGATGCCACTGTGCCACTCTGCCATTGACAGCAAACAGATTGGTAGCCGTTGTCATCACTTGGAGAAGAAGTGCGGATACTTGTGTATTGTGCTGTACTTCGAGTTCCTCACCTCGTTGGCAAACATGGCTTCGTACTCGGCCTTTTCGTTGCGGTCCATGAAGTAGAACGGGGTCGGCCGCCCGCGTGGGCCGCCCCCCTGCAGCTTCACGTCCACCACGATCGGCAGCTGAAACAGCCAAAAGAACAGCGTCACAGGTCACTTTCAAAAAGGGTGGCCGTGGGTCAGCCCTCTTCCAAAATAGTGGACACGAGACGCACCAGAGGTAAATAGCTGGAACACGAGACATGAGACGTACTGAAGCCTGAAATGGGGAACACCAACTACGGCCGTGGCTGAACCGTCGACGCCAAAAGCCAAAGCAAGCCCGACGACCAGACAATCCACCTGTTCTGCGCAACCCGACCAACCATTTACAACAGCTTAGTAGCATCAGTCTTCCCGTTCGGCCCCGCGGGGCGCGCGCTGACCTGGTCCTCGTCGGCGTGCATGTTGGTGCGGTGGTCCAGCAGGACGTAGTAGCGCGGCATGCCCAGCGAGCCGAGCCCGCTGTTGATGCGGTGCGCCACGTCCAGCACCAGCTCCTCGGGCCACCCCTGCGCCAGCACGCGCTCGCGCACCGCGGGCATCAGGCTCGCCACATAGTGCGCTTTGAACGCTGCGGACACCGCGGCGCGCTCGTCGGCCGTCGCGGGCGTCAGCTTCTGCTTCTCGGGGGCCTTTGCGGCCTGCCGCTCGTAGTCGAACGCCACGTAGTGGCCCGCCGCGTCCTTGCGGCACCTGCAGCAGCCGCTTGGCCGGCTTGAAACCAATTCGTGACCCGCACTGACGGAATCAGCTTTCAAAGTTGCAAGCAGCGAGGACGCGAGGAACGGCGGACGAATCACGAAGTTTTGACGCACTGGAAGCGGTCGACTTCTCAAAGCGAAGTTTTGACGCACTGAAAGCGGTCGACTTCTCAAAAGCGACAGCAGGACGATCATCGAAGACATCGAGCGGATCTGAGCAAGCAGCCGAAGGCCTGAGCAGTTGGTCGCTTCTTCAGCGTCTTTGGATTCAACGAGCAATTCAAAAGGGTCAGTACCCTCACAGCTTCTCGAGCATGGCTTCGCGCGTGGTGTCCTCGCTCTTGGTGAGCTGCTTGAGGAAGGCCTTGAGCGGGCCGCGGGTGTTGGCCTTGGTGAAGGTGCGCCCGCCCTCTTTACGCTCGTACCCGACCACCGTGCTCAGGTAGGCATCCGCAAACGCGAGCACGATGTCCTGCTGCGCATCCGTGTCCACCTTGCGGATGTTGTTCTGGCGGGCAGTCAGCACCAGGCTGATGGCCAGCCGCCACACGTCGTACCTGAGAACAGCAGGGGGTCACACGTGAGGACGGAGTCGATGAGCATGACCGGTGTCGAACTTCAGTAGTGCAGCCAGGATTGGCAGCTTACGTCCATGTCTCAACAACGGATTGCCAAGCATTTGGCACAATATGTATTTTACTAAAATTTGCAACAATTCGTTCTTCGGACTAACGTCTGACAGCCAAGAAACAAAATGACTCCTATTCCCTCCTGTAACTATTTTTGTTTCTTTTGAGAGCGGGATGAAATTGCTCTCGATAGGGAGTGGAACATAGTGGGACACGTTGATCACAATCCAATCCCTTTCATCCTGGATTCTTCGTGTGTGAATCCTTCAATGTGTGAAGACAACATCGAGGCGAAAGAGATGAAAGGGAGCAAAACCGGCTGCAACGAGGGCCGGGAGTGGCAGCCGTGACAGACAAATCTTGAAGGGCACGTCGTCGTTAGCTTGCTGCGACAAACAAGCCATCTGCAGATTATATTCATCATTGCTGCATCCTTCCAGAACGCCAATCGATACTATAGGGAACAGTCGGGGCTGGTCGTGTTGCACTCACTGGTAGTCGCCAATGACGGACTCGTCAAAGTCGTTGAGGCCGTAGCAGACCTGCTCCTGGGAGTTAAGGAACGCGCCCATGCTGGCACACAAAGCGGAAAAGCAATCTGAGCATAAAGAGATTTTGAAAGCAAAGAGCGCTACTTCTTTAAGAGGAGCCGTCCTCAAAAAGTTGGCTTCAGCTGTGGGCAGAAGCAATGTCGAGCACCCACAAGCACACTCCAGAGGATTGCAATACGAGGTCCGCTATGAAAGTAAACGGTCAGATTTTTGGTCGTGAAAAAGGGCCCTCTTCAAACGGGGTTTTGAGGTTCGAGACGCATTTGAAAACTACTTCAGCTGGCGGTGCTCACTTATAGATGTGCATGTCGCCAAGCAGCCAGGTGCGGGTCTTGGGGCTGCCAAAGCGGGCCATCCGCCAGTCACCACTGCACAGATGTGAAATCACGCACCAAGCTTAATTACGTCTCAGACGCCCGGTTCTTTGTGCATGCTCGAGACGAACACAAGAAGGGGGTCGATGAAGCAACTGATCAACCTCGGGAAAAAATATGGTCACAGTGAGCAGCGATACAAGGTACTCTGCAGTAGGCCAGGAGAAAATACCCAGACATAAATCTGAAAGTAATTGAAGACTTTTGTGTACCTGAAGTCTGCCCAGAACAGGTGCGAAGTACCTGAGAACGGAAGGAGGCAATCAATCTTCAGCTCAAGGTACCATCTGAGCGGTAGTAGGATGATCCATCCCACAGAACAGAGCCTGTACGCTGTTTCAAGCATTAATACCAAATAGGACAATTTACGCCATAGAACGCTCTTCAAGGAAAGGGTGCCACAATCAAGCGGACAGAACACAACAGCCTGCGTGCGTGCAGCGCGCCCACCTCGGTAGAGGCCAAAGGGCGAGGCTGCCATGGCGGCGCACTTGGTGTCCCGCCAGGCCTTGGTGATGGATTCGTTCCACCCCGCAATCGCATTCACCACCTTCTCCTCGCGGTTGTTGCCCGCAGCCGTCACCTGCAGGCCAGCCGTCACACTCACGTGTCACCTGCCCTCCATAACGATGTTACTTCCTCTCGTTATTTCAAGACCTTGCACTCAAAGGCTATTGCCGCACTTCTACAGTGTAGTATTGCGTGGCCAAAAGCCACAGCTGTTGATGGTCCGTCACAAATTGCATACTTTTGCTGTTAGAGGAACCGTGCCTGTGATGGTGGAACGATGTTTGAGCTGACCATGTAACGTGGCCAGAAGATCTTTGAACTGACCATCGTTGCCTTCAATCTCTGCTGCAGGACTTCACCAAACCGACAAGTTTCAATCAAAGCGTGACGTGGGTGGGGGAGATGATTGTCTTTCGTATCTTTTACCCGCCATGCACTCCAGTCCACACCATTTGCCCTGCAACCTGTTTGATCTTCCCCAGACTCCCTGGCATCTTCCCCCAGTTGCTCACCCCCTTGACGAGCTGCATAGACCCCTCCCTATGGCGCGGCCTCTCTGCCAGCGCCGCCCGCACGGCCTCCAGGCTGCGCTCCTCGAACCCCGTGTTGGTGACCACCTCCTCCACCACCGCCACTGCCTCCTGCACCGCCGCTTCAATGTCACCCCCCTTGGGCCCCGCCCCCAGCCCTGCTGACGCTTTATCCACTACAGCGGCCTTGGACGGCACCTCCTCGTCCTGCTCGCTGCCCTTCTTCTTCTTCTTCTTGCCCTTTGCCTCGTCTTTCTTGCCCTTCACCTCAGCCAAGCTAGGGGCTACAATGGACGACACTGCGGCCCTGACTAGGCTGCTGGAGTGCCTTTGACGGGGGAAAAGGGGGCCAGCTGGCAGAGTGAAAGAGAGAGCTGAGCTCTGCCTGAAGCTGGTGCCGGAGATGCCATGGCAAAAGGCAGGGGAACAGCAGAGGGGGCTGACCATGGCGGAAGACATTGTCCCCAGACCTGCATAATGGAGGGGCTTGCTTGGAGGGTGCATGATTGATGCACAGAACGAATTGCTGATCACAATTGGTGGTAAGTGCGCGCGTATGGTGGCTTGTCAGCTCGTTGTTTGTGTGTGGTTGTCTGAAGCATAAAAGCACACCACTCCTCTGAGGAAAGGTGGGGCATCTCAAGTCGGTTCCTGCTCAAAGTTTCTGCAGGCATGTTGGCAACTGCTAGTGATAACTCAGCATCTCGCCACTGTATTGATTCTGCCAAAAAAAAAGTCGACGAACATCACAAGCCTTTCTTAGCTGCTTCCTGAGTTTTCTGCTGGACGCTGCTGGGAGCGCAAGCAGACACAGCTTCACAATGAGACTTCCAACCAGAGGTATTCTTCTGAACCATTTGTTAATGTGGCCTCCCACTTATCAAGCAAGAAGCGTGAGCCAGCATTTTCAAGCTCCTGGTAGCAGTGCCTTCCAAAACGAAACGATGCGGCAATTGTACGCTTTTACAGCATTTGTGTCATCAGGAACTTTTCTGATGCTGGCAGGACCAGTAACCAGTTGGATCGCAATGGAGGTGCTCACAGATAGAAAAGCTGGTTCATTGGGCAAGCTCATCATCAGTGCATTATGGTGAATACTCAAAAGCCAATCAAATGTCTTAAAAAAATGCAAGCATCAATCATGCATAAAAAGACGTACCTGTGAACGAAGAAGAGGTTGCCTGGACAGCTCAAAGGTGCACTTTGAAAGTGAGACTCAGAGCTCTGCGTCCCTCTCCCCACAGGATTGCGATGATCTGCTCTGTTCAGAATGAAAGGCAACAACGAATGAACGAATTGGTGGAATATGGATCTGTTTTCTCGCCGCAGCGCTAGCCAATGGTGGCACTGGAATTGAATTTGTGTTATTGCCAGTGGGAATTCAATGTGGGCGTCGTGACGTCAGCCGCGATTATATCTTCACGGCCACGATTTCGAATGGCAGATTGTGAGGGCCTTGGCACCGTGGATGAGCTGTGTCAATGGCATGGTCTAAACCTATTCTAGGGTTCTAAATTTCGGAATGAGGATAATTGCTTTGCTCTCTCGAATTCTCCTCTGCATCAGATCATCATCAACCCAGGTGGACTCTGGAGCCATCTTTCAACTCTTGGAGCGGCAGCGAAGCCAAGCATTTGTCAAGCTGCATTCCTGTGGTCCTTTGAAAGAGGTGGTTATGCAGAGAACCGTGCCAGTAATCAAAGCGGACTTTGCTGAAGCTGCCAACTGAACGCGCCAATGGCTGGTTCGAGCTGCAAGTCTGGGTTGAATATCAACACACCTCTTTGTGGCTCGCAGAGAGCTGGCTCCCAATGGTCCCCACATGGTGGTGTAAAGTATGATGTGTCCTGCTTCTCAATTAGACCACTGCAAGATCCGCCTGCTCTTCCACACTGCGCTGGCAGACTTTTAGTGCGGCAAAAGCTGTCGGCAAGAGGGTGTAAAGCACCTGGCCACCACACAGCGTCCTTTTTGCGATGTGCGAGGATCCGGGCATGTAATAGCTCCACAGATGGAGGGGCGGCACCAGTCTCGTCAGATGCTGAGCAGCCCAGATTGACATCTACTGCAGAGCAGAAGCAAGCGAATATGACAAAGCGCCTGGAAGCTGCAAGAAGCAAGGCAACTGATTATCAACAGAACACAAATGTTGCTTCGGGATTGGGGCAGATTAGGAACCAATCGGAAGTTGAAAGCTCCATGAGTGACCTCGATAGTGATGATGATGATGATGATGAAAACTCTTCAGGTGGGGGCCGTGGTTATGGAGTTGTGGGTCTGCTTCTCAACCAGAAGCCAAAAAAGGAGTCCTTTTATAAGAATGCAAAACGCGAGGTTGCCAAACCAGGCGTCCTACCCGACATCGAGATTGTGCGCGGTAAGAAGGTAGTTTCCGAACGAAGACCATTGAAGGACGACTAACCAGCGGCATGATATGATAGTATTTGGCAAAAGCTGGTCCAAGCAAGCGTCTATTGTCATAGCTAGACTGAAGATATGGAGGTATTCATTTGTACGTGCTGTAGGCTTGTATATCCAGAACACAGTTTGTTCATCTGCAACCACATACCTTTCAAAAGGCCTCCCCCTACCAGTTGATTCGTAAGGAATTGAATTCATGTAGAGGTTCTAGATTAGGCACGAGTCCTGTCTTCTAATCAGCAACTGAGAATCAGGAATTCAATGTTTGATCGAATGCCTTCAGGACCCAAAGGTGAATGAATAAGTTGAGTTGAGGTAGTGGTACTTTCGAAAGATGTTCTCTTTTCAAACGATAGAGGGGCGTTTCTGTAGGACTCAATCAGAATCTGGAACTAGGTCTGGCATGATTGGAGCAACGTGCCTTGGGTAAGCCCGGTCTAGCGATATGCTTTCTCAATGAAGTGCATTTTCGTATATCATATGGGCCTGATTGCGGCCACATGCAACATGTATGGCGGCCGGAGTCCTGCATGGTTCGACGCATACGAGGGTTAGTATATAACTAGGCCGGTATATGCGATTGTTGAAATGCAGAATTAAGCCGCGATGACAATTCGCGCGAGTCTGCACGTCTAGTAATAGTACGTGCACACATTGCATATGCTGGCGCATCACCGATACAAACGATTGAGATCCGACGGCCGCCGCGGTCACTCGTATACATATATATTACCCGGAGTTAGTGTACAAGTATGGATGCATACAATATGATCGTTTGCATGAGCACGTGCCTTTTCCACATGGACCCGATTAGCATTCGGACTACTGAGAACTTACCGTCAGCATGCATGATCTGGCCGATGATCAATCTGTACTCAGCAAACTTGAAAGCAGATATCCAATGCGTCATCATAGCATCGCTCCTACAGGCAGTACCGTTTTGCTTGCGGACCTGGCAACTTACACTTACCATCATCCGGATCGATCGTACAACAACATACATTGAGCTGGTGGCAAGATTTACGAGTGGCCGAGCATTGAGGCGAACTCGGACAATTGCATCACTCCTCCTCATCAAGTCAATTCGCTGATCCCAAACGGGTCTTGTTCTAACTCCTTTGGCGTCATTGCTTTCATGAATCTCTGCACCCTGCTCCGTCGCTTGTCCCTTTCGTGCTGTCCCTCCACGTCTCCGATGTTGTCGTGATACTCTTGCAGCACTCGTCGAATTACCTCCAGCGTCAGCCCCTGCTGGTGCAACAACAGCAGCAGCCGCTCCCGCATCCCCCGATGGCTGCACCAGACAGTGCTTCCTACTCAGAAGAAGGCACACCTCAGGGCATCTCGCAGAGAGAAGCACGTGCGCATGTTGCACAGCAACCAAGCATACTTGCAAGTTTGCAGTCCCGATAACATACTAGCAAGCATGAGGAAACGGTTTGACATCTCGTCCTCGACTCGAGTGTGGCGGTCGCCCCTTACTCTGTGGCCCAGATGCTGCCGGCTATTAGTGCCAGTAACTGCAAACAGGGTGCAAAAGTTGCTCAGCTCAGCACAACGTTGCAAAGTGCAACATTGGGAAGACTCTTTTGAGACGCCTGTGCTCAAGCATTTGGAAAGCAGATGACTTAAATGTCAGCAAACCGAACGTTCGGAATGGAACTCTTGACGGTGTAAACTGGTAAAAATACCCCTACAGCATATTGCACAAAAGGCGTGAATCTCGTCGAACGCCTGCCCGGTTGCGGAGGGGCGGCTCACCTGGAGCGTGTACAAGCCTGCCCCCAACTTGGCCAGGTACCTCTCCTCGTCCGACAGCTGCACCAAGAGCACACACACCGATCAGGGCTGGTCAACACATCAAACAGTGAGAGTGTGTCCAGCAAAGCACACTTATCCCCACACAACTCCTCCGCTTTCCTTCGGGCACGCTTTTCAAGTAGTCTCCAAGTGCTTGGATAGGTCAAGGGAGACCGCGACATTTCGATAAAGAGCAAGCACAACGACCGCAAGACAAAGAAGAGCCGTTCAAGGGAGACGCGAGACACGGGGGAGAGGGTCTTGGAGTTGCCGGCTCACATCTTCTTGAAGGTCGGCGGGCAAGTTCTGTTGCCGCCCCTCCTCTTCTTCTACCCGGCCCTGGTACCTGCAAACCACCACCCAGGGTCATCACGGGAACACGAGACAGGGGGGAAGTCCCTGGCAAACGACTTGACGAGACGAAGTGGGGAAGCAACGCAGGGTTTCGCCGGCCAACGACCGACGCGAAAGTACGTCCTCCTCAGCGGCAGTCTCATGACCTCCGCCGTTACGTCAACACAGAAATGTCGAGCCCCAAACTCCCGTACGGACTCCCTCGCCGGCTGCCTCCCACTCCTGCCAAGGGATGTACGGTGTGCGGCAGGCCTTACTTGATGAACAACTCCATGAGGCGGTCCACCTTCTCGTACTCCCTCTCCACAAACTTGCTCAGGATGCGGTCCCGCAGGCTGCCCCGCGTCACATTCCCTGCCAGCATCAGCATGACGTCAGCAGGTTCCTTCAACAAGCAAGGGTGCCCTTTGCAGCAAGCAAGAGTTATTCTGCCAATCGTCGGCGAGAGACGAAGGCGTATGACGTCACGCCGTGCGTTTGCAGACCGACTTCGAGAGCGGCTCACCAAGAAGAGACGCAATGAGGGACACCGCCCGCTCGTCAATCTCGTCGGGGGACTGGTCCTTCTTCTTGCTCTTAGGAAGGCCCTGAAATCGGAACGGGAACAGCAATCAGCCAGCGTGCCCTTCCAGTGGGCTTTCTTCCAAAATTCACAACTAATTCTCAAACGAGCTGCACTGCACACCCGGACTCGTCAGCCCCGATCTTCTGCTTGCCCAACGGCACAAAAGCTGGGAGCAACTGTAACCGGAGTCGTCTCGCAGAGAGAGTTAGACGCAGCCAGGCATTGCTCTGAAGACCGCGGGCATAGCTCTTCACAATTTCCAGTGCGCACCTTGCGTTTTGCGGGCCCCTACCTTGGCCATGAATGCTGCGAAGAGCGTCTTGAGGCCCTGCACGTTGACGAAGCGGTCGCAGGCGGTGGGGCAGCGCGTGAGCGCAAAGTCGAGCGTCTTGAACGCGGACGCGTACGCCTGCCGCTTCTGCCGGATCACGATGATCATCAGCTCCACGCCCTCCGACGCCACAAAGCGCTCCTTGTTCTCGTCGGGAAGCAGCACGCTGTGCAGGCCAAGCGAGATGGTTCAGCCTGACACGCAGGCGCAGCACCGGCCGAGTGGAAGCAGGTGGGCCGAGGACAAACAAGTCAAGAATCGTCAGGTGTCTGCGCTGGAAGATAGACTCGAGCAGGCACGACATTCAGGAAATCACTGATTGCGAACACGCACACTTTATCTCGAGGTTCTGCAAGGAACATGTTCGTGTCTAAGTTGTCAACAAGCAGTCCCTCGACAACCGGATTTGCCTCGCGCCACCTACTCCGGCTGCGTGCAGGACTGACCTGCACAGCACGTCGTACAGGTTCTCCAGCATCTCCTCTTCGTCTGTCGTCCGCGGATCCCGCGACTTGAATGCAGCCACCGCCTACAAACCCATGGAGTAGTATCGGTCAGAAGAACGGAGACAGAGACGATCATGCCAGAAATGCCACAGATAAGCTCTGGGCTTCGACCTCAGACTGCGGCAGTCGTTGACAATCACGTGAAGGGCCAGGCCAGCAGTGCGAGGGAAGCGCACCTTGAGCAGCACGTCGATGCCGTTCATCTGGCCCAGCTTCTTCTGGTTCACACTGCTCTCCTGAACGCAGCAACAGACCCAAATGTCACTCTGGCATCAACATGCTCATTGCGTTAGCAGGATAGCGGCAAGAAGGGCAGTGACGACCGCTATACGATCATTGATACTTCAAATAGTAACGGAGGTCCGTCGAGGAAGCCGCAAAGTGAGGGGGAGCGAACGGACCTGCATCAGGATGGCCAGGATCTCACTGCTGTACAGCTTGTTGCCGTCCGCCTCTCGCCCCTGCACAGCACCACGAGTCTGTCAAGCAGCAGCACGCGGGATGCAAGTTGAAGCGGGACAGAGCGTCATTTGAATTTTGCAGCATACCGCATGCACACCTACTTGCGATATAAAACCCAAAGCTAATCATGCAAGCGAGAGTAGGTGACGTAAGAGGGCGGGGTGGGCGGCTGACCTTGAGGCGGTTGAGCAGCCAGGCCAGCAGCTTGGTGCGCTCGCACACCATCTCCGCAACAGGGGGGCTCACCTCCACCAGATTCTGCACGCACAGCAGGGACCAATCACTCAGCGAGAGTCGTACACAAAACAGGCCTGCTTACAAAGGGTGGAAAGCAGGCTTCAAACAATGCAACAACGGAAACATGATGGCACCTTGAGGCGCCTGCTGGTTGCACTCCTTGGGCATGTGGGGTAGCTCGCACCTCTACGATCCCCAGGGTGCTGTACACTGCGGACGCCTCGTCGGGGCTGCTCTCGTCCAGCCGGGATAGGTTCTGCACAGTGTGCAAACAGATGCGGTTGCCGGTTCCTATAGGGATGTACTGAACATTGAGTGCCGGAGATCATCCCGTAAGAGGGAGTCCATGCCAGCCTCGTAAGTAACGAAGTTCGGATTCAGGACCTCGGTCTAAGTCGCCCTTAAAACGAAGGCACATTCAACTTTCAATTGGTCGAAGTGATCCAGTACGAACTTCGTGCACCTAGTCATTGGCACGTCTCTTGCCCCAACAGCATTTGCATACTTGCAAATACATGCTCGAAAGGTGTGCGAGTCGGTCCAAGTGAATTCAGCGAAAAGACGTCCGGCCCTCCGGTCCTGCCTCAAGCTGTGTTTGTCCGATTAACAGTTGGCAAGCCTTGATCGAGCGCATGTTGTCCGTGTGGGTCACCTGTGTGAGCAGCTCAAGCACGTTGTTGTCCAGCAGGGCGTCCACGAGCACCTGCGCCTCCTCGCTGCTCTCCTCCAGCGCGTCGCTGTCGGTCAGGTCCTTGATGACGTCGATGACGTCGGTGGAGATGTCCACGTTCTCGTGGCTCAGCAGGCCTACGAGCGATGGCACCACGTTCAGGCGCACCAGCTCCGGGTACAGCTCCTGCACGCACGGCCCGTGATGAGCACTTAGAGAAGCGCGTAAGCCTCCAGGGATTAGGGGAATCAGCAGGTGAAAGCGACTTGTGTATGCGGCCAATAATATCGATTAGAAAGGATGGGCATAAAGCACAAAAGGACATGCGTCCTATATTGCATGCTCCAAGCCGCGTGCATTGACAGCAGGGACACAGGTGAGAGCAGCGATGAAGGACGCAAGAGGGATGCCTCAAATGAGCGGACCGATTGAACCCGGAAGCATGCCATATGCACGTTGTGATGGGGAATGGCAGGAAGAAGCAGTAGGTATTGTTCAGTTTCTCTTAGTCAGCTTATAGCAGAACCTATGTTGGACACAATGCCCCCTGTAAAGGTCTGACTTGCAATTTATTGACGACCTCTTCCTGCAAGGCAAAGCGCCCATAGCCTATCACCAACCACCGGCTTGCTGATCTCTGATAGAGAGGAGTCGGTCAAAAACATCCAGCCTACTTGGATGTTCAGCTTCAGCTTCTACCCCCCGGCAAACGCATACAATCTTCTTAATCGAAGCGAGGCACTCACTGGGGCAGCGGAGAGGGCATGCAGCTTCTTCACTTCCTCGTCCAAGTCGACCTCGGAACCCACAAACCTGCATGAGACAGGGTCAGCTCCAGAATATGTTCGCACCATGGACATCCTCCGTGAGTCCGCACCTTCTCGGGGGCAGACAAAGAGCACCAGAGCATTCAGCACAGCTTAAGGGAGGCATACGATGCGTCGTAGAGAAGAGCTCACTTTTCCGGAGCATCTGCATACTTCATTCGAGCTTCCAGATTCTCAGTGACCTGCACCAACATGGGGCTCCAATAAGCGCAGGCAACCGAGAAAAGCTGGGCGATGAAGATTGGGCCTGCTTGTGTTCCCGACATCTTATATGCAATCCTGAGCGTTGGATAGGCACTCTTTCGGTGGCTGGAAGTTGCTGCAAATCAGGCACTCATTTGTGATGCACTTCGCAATGGACCAATACAAAAGCCTCCAGGTTCGACAAATCCTCAACAACAGTGCAGGCAGGTCACAATGGTGTCAGAGTCACTAAACTAGCGAAAAGGTCATCAAGGCCAAAAGCATTGTGCAGTCAATGGGTTGAAAAAGTGTGACTAGGACCCACCCGCTTCTCAAAACTCAGCACCATCCGTTTCAAAGTCCGAGCATCCAGAGTTTCAACCTGCAAGACGCCACCAACCATCAGGACTGGATACTCTAGCCACCATAGCTGAATCACCAGCTTTGCTTGTGACTTCAGTTGTCGAACTCCAGCCAAAGAAATTAAGGTTTGTAACGAGCGAAGCACCAGCCGATAGCAAATAAAGCCATTCCTGTTGGCTAAATTGCTTGTAAGGACAAGCGTATACATAGATTAAACCATGATGTTCAGTACATTCTGCCAATGATACTCCAAAATATGTGCCAGCACAACGTGAGGCTGCCCAATCTGGTGGTGGTAGCCAACATTCATGAAACCATATCGCTTGGTGCTCATCGAAAAATTCATACAGGATCCTGACAGTGGCCGATTTCCTACCCCTTGCCCCGCTTCTTTCTCAGCCGCTTCCAGCAGTGCCATGTCCACGTCATCCTCTCCATGAGCCCCGTTGCTTAGCTCGATACCGTTTGGTCGGGCCCGGGTGGTACTCCTCTCACCATCAGCATCGAAGCGAGACGGACGCTTCCTTGAGGGCTCTGCCATTGTGCGTGCGGCTATTTACCCACACAAACAACTTTAGTCCTTACATTGGACGTGGCCTACACCGCAAATGAGTGGCTTCCCGCCAAAATGCGGCAGCGAGAGAGTGAAACTTGCTATGATGCTGAGAAGTCAACGACAAGGACATGCCCCTTCCTCCTACTCCTTGTCGATTTCAGTATGCTGGGCTTGGCCCTAGGCTTGACAACGAATGAGTGGGGGCAGAAACTCCGCAGAAACTTGACAGCCAACTCAGCAACTGGTGCTACAGGCTACAGCGGCGTACAGCCTCAGGCTCAGCAATCGCCCGGTAGGTACCCCCTCATGGATACGAACATGCAGATTACCTAGTGTTTGTTTTCGACGAGAAACAAGCGTTTCTTTAATGAGTGATCCTTCAGAATACCCTTATCGTCGTTCAGGAGCTCCCTCGCACTTCTTCAGACTTCAAGTACCGTACGTACCGCGGTACCTAGGAGGTCGCCAGCAAAGCTAGGCCCAGCGCAAATTCGATGCTGGACGGATTCACCGTTCTGCCAACTTCCTTTCAAGAACCTTCTTGCTGCAGAGTTCATGTCCGCCTTTGCTGCTCAGCTTCCTCGCCGCACCGCTGTGCTAGGGATCGTCCATACAGCTTGCTGAGTCCTTGGAACTTGGAAAGTGTGTGGGGCGTGCATCCTCGCCAAGCAGTTTTTGGCTTCTCTCCTGGCACTGGTCTGTTGGATAGAAAGGGTGCTGTTGCTTGGAACCTGGCATGTTTCAGGAAGAGAAGGGGAGGCTGAGGTTTGGCAAGAGAATCTTAAGAATAGAAAGGCAGAAAGCTCGATCCAAGCACAAACACGAGCAAGAATTTCTCAGCAGGGGTTGTGCCCCCCTATGTTTAGGAAGCGGAGGACAAGGTGTAGCGCCAGTCCATGTCGGTAATATCTAAGGGGGGGAGCCTCCTTAATGGAGGCACCTTGCGTATACGAGAGGTGTGGGCAGACAATCTGGAAGAGGAGTTTGAGCTTATAAGGGATATCGTAGATGATTATCCATACCTTGCCATGGATACGGAGTTTCCAGGCATCGTGGTCAGGCCTGTGGGGACATTTAAGAGTGCGGCGGAGTATCACTATCAGACTCTGCGCTGCAACGTTGACATGTTGAAACTCATCCAGCTTGGGCTCACTTTCTCAGATGAGAACGGGAATCTGCCCCAGTGTGGGCCAAATGAATACTGCGTGTGGCAGTTCAACTTCCGGGAATTTAACATCAGGGAAGATATGTATGCACAGGATTCGATCGACTTGTTGAGGACGAGCGGGATTGATTTCCAAAGGAATGAGAAGAATGGGATTGACATTCAAAGGTGAGCAGGCTCCACATGGCTATAAATTGTTGAGGTGCTCGCTGTTCATTTCATGTCCTTCGCATTTTGATACGATCAGCTTTTTCCCCCTGCATTCACTCGGTCACAATGTCTTCCATCCACTTGCAACACTGAGTTACCTTTTCAGCACGAGCTGAGTTGCAGGTCCCTCCTTGTCACATTGACATTTGTTTCAGAAATTCAGGTCGGCAAGTTTGGCTGCTGTATTGGCTTTATTTTCTGCTGATCTTTTACGAAAGGGATGCTACGCTCTTCTTGGTCTGCATACCCATACGTCGGTGCCAGGCCCCCTCTGGGACATGCAGCAGTGTGGCATTAGCTGCTAGTTTGTGCAAGAAGGTGTTGGCTTGCAGCTTTTGAAAGGGTAGGCAAGCCCAGAATATCCGAGCAAGTTTGACGCAGCTCATCTTCAGCAAGACTTTTAAAGAGCAGACAAGTCCGGTTGATTCTGAGCAAGTTTGACGCAGCTTACCTTGGTGGTTGAGTTTGCTACTGCTCGTTGGTAATGTCAATCATGACCATATGTTGCAGCATGGGACTTGGGGATCTGTGCCACATTTTCTCCAAGTGGCCAGGCATGAGCAATCTCGTTACATAGAATTATGTGCGCCTGACAAGGAGTACTCCGCATCCACAGCCCGTGCAATATCTGGTCCATTTTCGCTTGTGGGCATGCTGCCAGGTCTGGCTGGTTGCTGTTGTTTTTGCCCTGGTTCAATCGTACATAATCTGTCCCATACAATATCTCGACCCAAGCACTTCAGTCCACGATAGATATGCCGCTCTGTCAGTCATTGAGAACTCCGTTTCCAGAGTTAGGTGGCTTGACTTCATTGGTACAGATTTCAATGTGTTTGTTTCTGAGCATCACTGACCGTGGTAGATTTTACCCAAGTTGCCAGTATGAAGAGTCTGGCTGGATTAACGGGGGAGCACAGTTTCCAGTGGAGTAATCATCTGTTTCTTGCAGTTGATGCAGAATCACCTTGTGCTTGTCACATGCTGGTGCTTAGTCACGAGTCCTCTGCCGTATGAAGTTTCAATATTTGCCCTCCTTTGTTCGTAATCATGTCCGCCGGATCAATGAATTCACATCAAAGTCATCCCACAATTGCGGAATGGTGATACCAAGCAGCTCTTCTGTTTCTTGGTTGCTGAGCCAAGCGCACAGGTCATCAATCCACGGAGGTACGCTCTTGGCTGCGCATGACCTCCTTTATTGTTTGCCTTCCTCCAGGTTTGGAGAGCTACTGATGTCGTCCGGGGTGGTGCTGAACGAGAACGTGCACTGGATCACGTTCCACAGCGGGTACGACTTTGGGTACCTCCTGAAGCTCCTCACTTGTCAGAACCTGCCCTCAGGAGAGTCCGACTTCTTCCAGGTAAGCTCAGCGAGGCACGCTTTTAGACAAGTCTCCTCACATTTGTTTGAAATCGCCACTGCCTGCGTGCTAAAGCCGGCTTCACGTCTCCAGGCGGAATAAGCTGGTTGAGCTTGGGGTAAGTCTGTCAAGCGGGTGCCCGGTGCTGACGGGGGGGTGTTGTGTGTGCAGCTGATGCGGACGTACTTCCCCAAGGTGTATGATATCAAGTACCTCATGAAGTTCTGCGACAACCTGCATGGGGGCCTCAACCGGCTGGCAGAGATCTTGGAGGTTGAGAGGATAGGTAAGCGACAGAGCAGGAATAAGACGATGTTAAGCTTGGCAGAGAACTTTGTTGACTCACAAAGATTGTTTACGAGGCTTGTTTTCCACCCTCCTGCTCCCAGCAGGAAAGTCGAATATGGATTTAGCGGGTCCTGCATAGCAGACCCAGCAACCGGAGTCTGAGCTTCTCGATGGTATCCATGTCGAACAATCCAAAAGAATATAGGGCGTAACTTTTTCTGGTAAGTGTTTAGGGCAGTTGACACGTATAAACCACAACATTGGCGGCTGATTTTGCTCGCTGCAACAACCCCGACGGGCAACTTCCTTGGATCACGAAGGGGCTTGCAGTCAAGCACGAATGCCGCTGTGGTTGTGATGGACTAGCAGCCTGAGCGCCCTCGATGTCTTTTTCGCTTCAGCCGCGGTCTTTTCCACTTCTGTGCGAAAAGGGTGATTAAGTTATGTGAGCTGGGTAAAGGTCAAACGAGAAGTTCACCAATCTGAGGTGGGATTGCTGCAGGCCCGCTCCCGTTGTTTCACTGATACGAGCTCTTCCTCTTTACAGGCCCCTGCCATCAGGCTGGCTCGGACAGCTTGTTGACGTGCGCCACGTTTCGAAAGCTCAAGGAGGGCTTCTTTAATGGTTCTACGGACAAGTATGCAGGAGTGCTGTATGGCTTAGGCCAGGATACCGAGACGGTTTCATGACCCCTGGAGCTACAAAGCTCTTGGGCTATTTGACGGCCTTTGCTTTTGCGAAGCAAGGTCGTTGAAGTACCTTCCCGTTGTCCTATACCTAGTTGCTGCGGCTCTCCTAGCTGTCAAAGTCTGCTAGGTGTGCACTGTATCATGTAGGACGTAGGTGATCCTGTAGCATAGCCTAGATGAACACATGCTGCTGACAGGTGCACACGCCTTGTATATGACGCTCAATTCCGGCATTCGGTGCAGCTCCGGGCAGTCTTCTATCCAATCCGACCTTGGTGTTGATCATAGGGTGACTGCATCCGACGCACTATTGCCCTCTGACTTGAGCGGTCAATGTTGCATGGGAGTATTGTTGCCAACAATCTGACGTCGTAGTACGGCAATCTTGTTGCAGCGAGTTATTGAACCGTCACCATTGACTCACTGTGACTCGTTCAGCTGGCAGCGGCATGCTGCCTTATCTAAAAGTTGCACGCTCGAGTCTATTTGGACCTGGCTGGGCCCGGCCCCCCTGCAATCTCAGCTTTAGATACGTACTGTACATTCGAGGGACACTGACAGTGTCGCGGAGATTGATTGCACATGTACATGCCAGCCTGCCGCTGCATCATTAAACGTTGTGGTATATATCATAAATTATAAGCTCGCGATCGAGCTAGACCTGAGGATATGAATCAAAACCTTTTCTTTGAACGATCAACGATCGAACACGTTTCGGGGATATTGATTAGAGTCACGTACAGCTCAGTCACCGTCATGCAGATCCATCTACATCTCCATCCAAAGGATCATACCAATACCAATGATTGTCGCAGCGGAAATGAACGCACGCTGCGCCCGCGTGATATAGCTTCCGAACAGGCCCGCCATGCACATGGTGTGTCGGACACATGTTCCAGTTCAGCCTTTCGGTTTCAGCCTCTAACTCCTAATTATACTTCATACAATGATTCAGTCATTATGATTGGGCAGCTGGCCACATGGCCGGCCCATGTTGATGTTTGACCAACCGACATTCTTCAATGATATATCAAAATTGAAGACAGCCCGAGCCTTGACTGCATGCACCAGAGTCATGCAGATCATTGCTTGTCTGCTAGGCTCCATTCGACTGCGGTGTGACAAATTATGAAACAACACGCCTTGATTACTCAAACCTAAACTAAAAAGTCTTTTTTTATGACATTAGGTTGACATTACACGTTAGCCCCTGCTTTTCAACCGGCAATGGAAAGATCCGATAGAATGTAGCCTGGCCATTTGATCAACCCAACCTCGTTCTGCGTATGCTATATACACTTTATTCATCATCTCGATCACCGGTGCAAAAATGACAGGGTACAGATTGACGTACCATACTGACGGGACCCATGTACCTTGTGTTACTATCTACTCCTTCACGAAAATACGGAGCTCCTTGCGATCTCCCCGACTGATGCGCACCTGGCACAGCGAAGCGGAGGCCGGATGGTTAGGACTGTCTTGGCCTCATCAGAGCAGCTCGTCAGTCTAAAGGCCGGAGAAGGATGTTGTGCAACACGAAGAAGCATACAGTAAGCTCTGGTCCAAAGCAGCGTTGCAGGATGAAAGGGCAACCAAAACAACAGTAGATGAACCACCGTCGACCACGGGTCCGTCCTTCACCGCGTGCTGTGCTGCGGCTCACCTGATCGTCTACGAAGGTGGTGGCAAACGAGCTGCTGCGGGCATCCCGCGTGCCTGAGCGCAGGAAGTCGGGCAGGGATGGCAGCGTGCTGCACGGAAACAACGGGAATACGGGTCAGCGTGAAAGCCGGCCCTTTTGACCCAAGAAGGTGGAGATCCCGAAAAAACGATGGTCGGGTGATCGAGGCTTCCAGCTGACCGCAAGAGGCAGCCAAACAACCACAGGCATGGCCGCTTCAAGATCAATGTGTCCATCCGGGACTCAGCGGGGCAATCAGCAACAGGGCCAGCGACGCAACACTCACAATTCTGGTACTTGCAACCCTTTCGGTTGAATGCGCGTGTCCTCAAATGTGATGCGGATGTCGGAGGGCCCTGCAAGAACGAAACATACCAAAGTCTGAGAGGCTGACCACTGAACAGACAGAACCCGTGGAAGGAGAACGTAGACCAAGATTCGGACTTTCCGAAATCCTCTACAGTTTTGTACCCTGGACTACGCACATTAGGTAGCTTCTCCCGGCCGCGCTGACTTGGGGATCAGCAAGGTACCGGCACTTCCCCGGTACGTTCCCGCAGACTACAGTCGTACCTATTACCAGTATGCGGTGCAGGTACAATGTACTGGGTACGATCTTTAGGAGTCAGGAACCCGGGCCCGGACTTACCGACCCGGGTCGACAGGGTACTAAAGCTTGGTAGGGTCCGAAAAGTGCAAATTTGGTCCACGTTCTCCTTCCACGCATTCGGACAAGATGCCACAGCCAACAGACATGCAGACCAACGCAAAAATCACGAAGTCCATGTTCCGCAAGCCAGGCCGTTCCAAACGAAGCCTGCAGGCGCACCTGCCACCTCGAATGAGTGCGCCAACGTGGCAGTCACTTCCCCTGGGGGCAGCAACGGCAGGGGCGCCTTGATGCTCAGGTCCACAATGTTGTCCAGCTCACGCCGCGCAACGTCAATGCGCTGGAAGACCTGCGCACGCACACCGCCAGCAGTTGAGTGACACTGCTTTTGATTATCAACAATCAAACAATCTAATGCCACGACGAACCATCACCGCCACAGCACTAACAGAAGCCTTTGTAAAGCAAGGGTTTCCCTTTGTTTTAAGGACAATCACGACGACGCTGCCGCTGTACATGCGCTTAGCAGGAGTTTGACAGGAGATTTGCAGACGCCACGCACCTGGCCGAGCGTGAGGTTGCTACCAACGAAGGGCGGCCCGGGTCGGGAACCGCCCAGGGAGCCAGAGGAGAAGCTGCTGGTGTACACCAGGCGCCACTGCACAGTCAAACACAGAAATGGAGTCAGAAGATTTCAAAATAACCAGAGTGTGCAGTAAGAACACACGCACAACCCGACCTGGGACGCTGTGTACTCAATCTTTGCTGCCAGCTTCCATATGGTGGCAGGCTGTGTAGTGCTGACCTTGCCGTTGAGCTTGTCCAGCTGGCTGGGCAGGTCCAAGCCAGGGCCAGCGCTCTCCAGGGCAGAGGCAGCAGAGTCAACCGCTGCAGGAACACAAGGAGTCTGAAAGTCAAGGACCTGCCTTGCAGATGTAAAACAAGCTTCAGTGCAGATTCCTGGTTGCCAACAGCGCACAAAACTTGCCAACAACATCTTAACCGAATCTTACTACCTCTGACAACATATCCGTTTCACAATCAGACATCTTGCCCGTTACAAATGTGAACCTTTGGCGCCATGTGCTTTATCGGGGTTGTTTCCAGTTCGCTCACCCTGCCTGTCCCTTTGCCCCGCTGCAATTCCACGGTCCAGACCCGCAACGCGACTCTGCACACATAGCCAGGCCAAGTTCAATAACTAGATTCTACTTTACAATGCCTAGATGACCGTATGACAGATGGCGCTCGTCACAAGGGGTGAGAGATGTCAAGACGACTTCAGGGCGCTAAGTAGACAGTACCGAACTTGGTGGATGACCTTGTAGGTCACTGTGGCTTGTTCCTCACATCCTTGCTCGTATGTACCTGACCCACTCACCAGAAGTGCAACCTTGAGGTCACCAAATTCTTGCCCCTCGCTCTCCTCGCTCTCCTCTCTACTCTCTGCCTGATCTTCAGACCCGCTCTTTGCCCCTCTACTATCTGCAGGCTCTGCCCTTTCCCCACCCTCCGCTAGCTCCTTCTCCCTGGCCACACTCTGCTCCAGCTGGCGCGGCAGTGCGGCGGCAGTATCCTCCTTGACTAGCCGCGCTGCTGAGCTGGGGTCAGTCGCTGCCCGTTCGGAAGAGCCCTCAGCCGAAGCTCGGACACCAAGATTTGGGTGGGCTTTCCTAAGGACTGGACGGCACAGACTCGCGAACGACAGGGGCGCTCTTGAGAGGCAACCAGAGGCCTGCACATACACAAATCTAATGGTTCGGTATCATTCCCTGTAATTAGTGGCAATCTTGTGATTATGGCCGACAAACTGCCCTCGCACATCAATTGGTCTTTCCGCTTGATTGCAATCAAACTTGCTGGGATTGGATTGGATTCTGAATTTGAGAACCAGTCCACCAAGGATTGATAAGAAGGAGCTACCACTCAGACCTTTAGATGGGGATAAGAAGAATCAACTCAAGAATCCAAAATCAAAGTCCAAAACCATCATAGATTGCAGAAGAAGTCGGAGAGTCGCCCACTCCATCCACCCGCTTTAATAAGATGTGCACTAGTAACCACGAGCAGAATACTCAGTGGCGATCTACCTAGTAGGGGGCTAGAAAATTGCATGCAGCTAGTTGCGCTCTTACTTGTAGCCTGGTTGGCGCCCTGGCGGACAGCCCCAATGAAGGCACGGCATTGCAACTCAAGTGCGCCTCAGACAGAGCCATCGAGCTACACCTCTACCTGGTTGATACAAGACCCACCTCCCACAGATTTGCAGATGTTTGAGCAGACAACAGCAAAGCTCGGCTGCTACCTAGCTACCAATCAAGGTGGAGAGTAGGGACGTCTCGCAGAAAACCTCCAGGTGGGGTGAGGTTTGTGCACCACCAGCTGAACTACCCAGCTACCTTGCAAGCTGATATGGCACCTCGCCTTTTCCCCCCTTCGAAGTTCGGAGGCCCTTCAAGAACCTGATTCCGCCAGCTAGATTCCGACCCGCCACGTCGGCGACTGGTACAAGCAGACACATCGACGGTGTCAGTCTCGTTCACGACCTGTTCAAGTCGACAACGAGCGGCTGCGATGACACCTTAGTACGACGTTGACGATGAAGACTTGCAAGCCGTCGATCCGGGATCGCAGGAACTTCTTCCTTGCAAGCACCATGGCCCTGGGCCTTGCACGTACAGCACTTGACACTGGGGCTAAAGGCTTGTGAGTTGTGTTCCGCTGTCTGCGCATTTCGGCAGAGGGGAATCGCCGAATCGGGTCGGATCTCTTGTCAGATGCTCCAGGGGGCTCCAGAGCTGCTTTCATCCTTATTCGGGCCTGCCTGACCCTCCGCAGCTTGGCCAGGGGCCCCCATCACGGTGCTGCAGTGCATCCTTGACCATCTGCGCAGACATAATGGGGAATCCAGGTCGTGGGGGCACCGCCACGGCTTCCCCAATGGAGGCGGCTTCGCCCCTGGCCATGGGGGCCAAGGTGGGCCCTTTGCCAGCCCCCCACCCTGGTGGGTACAGCCCGCAACTGCGCAACCTGAGCTGTAGCATGGAGAGTGCATGGATCGGGTCTCCTCCAAGCTGGCCCCAGGCACCCGTGCAGTCCGCTAGCTCAATGGGCGCACCCACCCAGAATGGGGAGGAGAGTCCACCCTCGCAGGGACCCCCTGAGACAGAAGCGGATTGCCCACTTCTAGACTGGAGCAGCGTGCCTGCATTGACGGGCGGGCAGATCAAGCAGATGCAGGATGTGGCGACCAGGGGGGTGCTGTGGGCTGCCCCTGGAGACGGGAAGCGCCACGCGATCTTGGAGCTGCATTACCTGGGGGACGTGGAGGCGGATGGCAACTGCCTCTTCACTGCCATCGCACGGTGCCTCGCTGCAGAGGGGCAACGGTGCAGCTCTGCGGATGTGCGTGCGCTGGCGGTCCGGCGCTTCCTCGCGGACTATCAAGGCGGGGCCCTGGATTGCGCGCAGACAGATCTGCTGATTCGCAACTTGTACTCGCCAAATTTGGAGGCGGGGTGGGGTGTACACGTGCTGCAAGAGGTGAAGCTGCTGGCCAAGCGCTCGGAGCGGGCGGCAATGGATGCGGCCATCCAGGAGCTAGTGGCCACCGGCATGGCGCGCGAGGCGGCGGCGGGCGCCATCCTGGCGGAGCGGTGTCAGCGCGTGGAGGACGGCCCAGCGTGGGCAGCGTACATGCGGTGCGCCGGGGGGGCAACGGACGAGCACGACATTGTGACGCTGGTGTTCACTCATGAGTCTCTGCTGAGTGTGGAGGAGAACACGAGCGGCAGGGCGGCCGCGTTTGGGGACGACATTGCGCTGGAGAGCTTGGCCTCAGAGTGGCGGCGCGAGATCACAGTGGTGAGGGCTCTGCGCCCATTGTCGACTACTGTGGTAGGAGGGCATGCCGCAAGATGCGATGGTTGTTCTTGCGGCAATTACCTGCATTTGCTGGGTAGACTGTGGCTTCCGGGGTGCAACATTTGACTTGCGGCAGTTGGTGCCTGTGTAAAACTGGCGCCCTTTATTGTCTTGGAAGTACGGGGAGGTTGAAGATTCTACACACTTGAGCACTGGAGTCAGGAAGCATGACTACTAATGCTTCTGCTTCAAAATTGCACTGGCCGGCGGGAAGTTTAATGAGCAACAATCACTCTCCACAAGGGCACACCAAGATATTTAGTGTGCCTTCGTGGACATGAATCCACACAGATGCAAGAAGGGCTCCTCTGGTCCTTGGCTGATGCAGAGCTGTACGTCTGGTGGTGCGTGCAGGTGCAGTCACACCCCGGCGCCAGCCCCGAGGAGGAAGGGCATCTCTTCTTCTTACCGCACATGCCCCGCCACTCGGCCGGCAAGAAACCAAGCGTGGCTCACTGGCCCATCTTTCTATTTATGAAAGGCACTGGTACGAAGTCCTCTCTGACATCCTCTCACGTCAAGTCTGTTGCATGCCGACCACTAACCAGCGTGTCTAATCACATAGCTTGGCCCCTGGTTATTGTTAAAGGCAAGAGGAAGGGTGCCATCAATTGGGCAGCTGGTAATCTTGCTTGCGCACCCTTAGAACTTCACAATGGCCCTTGCCTACTTTCCGCTGACGTGCGCTTCTGTGCTATCTCTGAGGAAAAGATGTTAATCAAAGAGTTCCGTGTGAATCTTAGGCCTCTGCACAACATCGACAAACATCAAACAGCATTCATTAAATGAAGCATGCTTCTGCCTTACAGATTGGTGTGCTGGGGGCTCAGACCATTACGAACCAGTTCGTGCCAAATCGCGACGAGACCAGACTGGGAAGCCTGCGTTTGTGCTCTAACTACTAACTGCGATATATACTGCATTAGATTGGCCATCCGGACCGTTCTTGATTCTTAAACGTTTTTGTCGAGTTGCAAAACATGGAAGCAGGTCGCTTGTGTTTGTTAGCAACCTGGATTTGCTGAACTGGCTGTGCAGAGTTTGCATGTGTTTGTTACCTAGTGGTGTTGATGGGACCATCTGTGTTGAAGTTCCAGGATTGAGCCTGGGGCAAGTCCTTTTCAAATGATAGGCAATCGTACCACATTGATGAGGTCAGTTTTGGCAACTCTAGACTTGTCGTGTACAAGAATACACTGTGTTGTTCTATTTGATTGAAATTGAACCTTCATATCATTCAAGCCAAAGTGGCCGCCGCAGCTTAGGCTCGGGCATCCAATGATTGTGCAAGTTAATCTCAAGAAATTGATTGTGCAAGTTAATCTCAAGAAATTGAGCCTGCCGATAAACTTTGTTTGCTGCTTTGCCCAGGAACGTCTAGGAGCTAGGAGCTCAGTAGGCGCGGCGCACCCTATATGGCACTGCAATGGCCGTATTGTGCCAGCTTGACGACCTATACTTGCTACTACCGTCTACCGTCAACATATACTCGTCAGCTCAATCTTCGACCAATTGGATCGGATCGCATGGATTGACATGCACAGCATGTATACATCATATATTAGCTGGGTAAGTTCATGATGTTCTAGCTTTGAATGATCGCTAGCTAGCCTTGCACACTTCATGTATATATACTATAATGAGTGTTCGTAATATGTACATTTTGAACGGAAGCCGTCATATATACTCTTTGTATCAATGCGGTTACCGCAGGTTCAATGACTCCATGCCGATTCTAAGATTATATGCCGCGGGCGCCCCAGGAACCTACTAAGAGCCTGAGGCTACGAGACCTTTTGACCCTAGCTGCGCCGCGTGCTGGCATGCCAACACTCGGGCTCCCGGTGCGCCCGCGATCTATGACAATTGGGAATGCAATTGAGTTAATTCAAGAAGCTTTTGGACTCAGGTTACTAGCAGGCTTCAAGCCGGCAACTAAGCGCAAGTGTCTCGCCGTCGATCCGGGTACCTTTGATACGTATACGACCTTCCCATTCTCGACTCGGATAATGAGCTTCTCCGACCTCGATCGGAAGCTGGTCGAATAGCTAAACGTACCCATTCTCTCCTAGGAGACGAGAAACGTACATGCAATGTACATGATGCTCATCATACTGGCCCGACAGTGCACAAATGCACATGCGTGCGTAGTATAGTGACCGGTAGCTAAATGAGGCAGTCTTACGCACATTTGGAAAACCAGGTTCTGTCGGGGCCCACTCACCAAGGGGTAAGTGGGCCCCAGCTGCTTCCTGCAACCGTATATTTGCTGGTACTCAATCTGGACTGCAGCCACGCGGCGGGCCTAGAACTGGATGCGCGAGCTTTCCGGCCGCTCAAAGAAGGACGTGCCTAGCGGGCCCTCCGTGGGCACGTCTACTTCCAGATCGCTCCGACTCTCAGCTGCGCCGTAGCCAGCCTCCATCGCCCGTGATGGGCGGTACCACTCGTCCTCCTCGCGCGTCAAGAAGTAGGCAGCTGCACAGCACGGACACGAAGGGGGCGCGTCAGGTTGCACACGAAGGCATGCGGACCAGACGTCTAGCCCCGACCCTGTCAGAGCAACTGTTTTTCGACGGAAAACATGCTGCAACAGGCACGAACAAGTATTGAACGTGGTTGATCCCCGACTCAATGAGATGCTATAAAGAAAGAGAATTATACACAGAAGATACAAAAACCTGTCTCCGAACGCGTTGAACCAAAGAAGAGGCAACCAGCGAAGGCATAACGGCGTACGAAGCAGGATGCTCAAGCACGGGCGACTGCGGGCATCTTGTGACGTCACGGTTTCGGTGGACGGGTCTATCTGCCTAAAAGACAGCCCGCAGCAATGCTCAATCAAAAGTGCAAGCGGTCGTTTGTAAAAGACGAGGCCGCTTGCTGCGGCCGCGGGGCGCACCTTCCGTAAAGACGTCCTGGTAGCGCTCCTCGTCGTAGATGAACTGCGGCGGCTCCGGGTCGCCAACGCCCACGATCGTGCTGCCACTGTCACCAGCACACGACCCACGCGCTCGGGTCAGCATAGCGACGAAGCACCGGACAGATGCGGGGCACACGTTTGGATAACAGGACAGAGATGCGGCAAAAAAACGAGCGAGTTTGTAACAAAAACCGGTTGGAGACGTCGCGAGGCCAGACGAGCAGCGAAGGGATCGATCGATCACGGCCCAGAGCGCGCTCTCTGACTAAGCAAAAAATAGCAAGGAACGAGGGAAGGATCAAGCGGGACCAGAAAGGAGCCCAACGCTACATGAGCGCCCCGATCGGAGAGCACGAGCGCCGGCCCGGCTCACCTGCCCGACATGAACACCGCGGAGTACTTGCCCCGCCCACCCGACGAAATGCGCTCCTTGAGCCGCTTCAGGGACGGCAACACCTCGAACGCCGGCTCTTCTGCGGGAAAACACGTGGCAGACAAACAGTGTCAGCGACGCAGCTCAGAGCGGTTCGTACTATCTGCGGCTCTGCTGAGCGTACCGTCACGTACTTTGGACCGGCGATCCAGTTTGACATGACCCTGAAAGGGCTGAAGCATTTGTGTGCCGCGGTGCCGTCTCCCCGTGGCTCACCTAGGTCGTTGACGCAGAACTCCTGGCGGATGCCGTGCTCCGTGATGGACCGCAGCAGCTCGCGGGGGTCCGCCGAGCTGGCGCGCTCCAGGCTGAACTTCTGCACACAGCACACCGGGAGCATTCACATGAGCGCTTGGACAGGGGCGATCACACAGACCTAGGTAGCTGCGTCGGGCAGGCACCGGACTGTCCGACCGGTCACAATCAGGGACCAAGGGCAAGCCAGGGCACCGCATGATACGACGCCATACCGGTCATGGGGAGCGTGCGGGGGCGCATTTCGAAGCTGCCATGGCCGCTCACCTTGAAGACTGCGGGCGTCTTGCACGAGGCGCGCGGCTTGATGAGGACCATGGGCGTGTCCAGGGGGACGGGCGGCGGCTGGATGTCTTCCACGATCTGCAGGCGGGTAGAAGTGTCAACGGACGTCACAACGTGCCACGAGTCAGGAGAACCTTTGCAGTGGTAGGTTGGACAATTGGATCAAAACTACGCGCAAACTGGTCTGAAGTACGTGGTGGGTCAGATGTTCATGTCCACTTCAACTCGACTATTGTCCGCTCATTACCAGCCTGTTCAACCCTCTGTCTTGAAAGTGTTCGCAATTGGCCTTGATTCGCCACGTCCTTTCGAGGAAGAACACCTCGTGGTGGAAAGAGAGCAGGGGCATGTTTGCAACACTGATAAGCCGTTCCGGCCGGTCTCCAGTCCGGGGCCGCAGGAGAAACAGCCGCCCTCAGGGAGAGGCAGTGCGGCGCCTTGACTAAGAGCGGTGCTCCCCGAACAGGAGTCGCACCTCGCCCCGCCCAGTACAGTAGGCGGCCCCGCGAGAGAAGAAGACGGGCACATCGGAGCCGATGTCCGCGCTCCACTCCAGCAGCTGCGCGTTGCTGGCGGGCCGCCCCGTCAGCTCGTTGGCCGCCCACAGCGCAGTGGCAGCATTGCCGCTGCCGCCGCCCAGCCCAGCGCCGGTGGGCACCTTCTTGTCCAGGTGAATCTGCGGGAAAGCAGGGTGTGAGGGGCTGCGCTCCGTTTGAATCAACACCTAGTGGTCGAAGGAACGTCCGACAGAAAGAGCTCTCTTGCGTCTCTAGCCTCGAGTCGCAAGCAATCCAGCCACGAAGTTGTGTCGGCAGGCTTTCAAAGTTGCGAAAAGAGAACGAGGAGCGAGGAGGTGGCCTCTTGGCAGAATAGCAAACAGCTGTTAGCGCTGATGGCCGTTCTAACACGACTAGCTTGGAATGGACCAAAGCACGGACGAGTGTGCCTACGACTTCGCATGTTGGACCTGACCCGCAGTGGCCGGGCCACTCCGCGCTGAATGTTCCCTACACGCCCTGCTGATGCCAGCGAGGCCAACGACAGCGCCGTCATCTGAGAACACGGTCGTGATCCCCTCACCCAGAAGTATTGCGGGATGCCCGTCTTGGCTCGAAACACGTCCAGCGCCTTGATGACCTGAGGAGAGACGCAACACGAGGGTTCAGCACAACAATCACCCAGTAGGTCCACTGCTTCAGCAAGTCCTTCCGCAGAGAGGGACGCCGGAATGGGACACGCCTTGTGCGCGATCAGGGGGAACAAGCAACCTCGACCGGCTGACCCGCAGAGCTGGATGGAAGAAAAGACGAGGGAGAATGGGACACTAGTTGCCGGCTCGGTCTACCCCTTGTCTTCTCAGCCAGTTTCTGAAAGGCTCCTGAGCTGTGCTGAGTCCTTGGACGCATGCAGGCTGCAGCGCGGGTCTCACCAGGTTGTCCTTCCCCAGGGGCACCCAGCGCGCGTTGGAGGTGAGGGCGTCCTTGCGCCCGGGGCCCAGCGTGAACTTGAGGCGGTCGCCCAGGTCAATCACCTGCACGCCAGTCGTTGGACAGGGGACCACTTTGGAGCGACTCGATTCGTTGCGCCTCAGGAAACAAGTAAAAGATTCTCAGGAAACTCCGTCATAAGCTTCTCAGATAGGTGCTCACTCATCAAGACTGGAGCTTGGGGCCAGGTACCAACCTTTCTACAGATCTATCACAAGAAGCAATCTTCGGAGGCGCTTGCCGAGAAATATGCAACAACTGCTTATGCTGTTGCTGCTGGCACAAAGCCTTCTGCATCATGAGCGTTCGACCTTGCGTTGCCAATCAAGTATCATGAGGGCACACTGGCTCCCGTGTGTCCTCACATGGAAAAGGGAAGCCAGGTCATGGTAGCCGTCAGGGCGCTTGGCAGTGACGCGCAGAAACAGGTTGATCTGGAGTGGGGGGCGAGAAAGGCGCCATCAGAAGAGGTAGGCAGAAGGTCAAGAACTAGTGGCAGGCATCACGTAGGCAGGTTTTGAATTTCTAACTCAAAAGTCTGAGGCATGTCCGCCCAATCCTGCCTTGTCACACATTTGAAGACCGTGTATGCAGAAGCAGGGGAAGCACCATAGCAGAGGCAGAATCAGTGTTGGGCAATGTTGCAGCCATTCACAACCGAATCAGCTGGGGAGAGAGCTTGGGCACTGGGCCTGCCTTGGAGGGGGAGAAGAGGTTGATGCTGTTGGTGCGCCGCCGCTGGTCAGGGTCAAAGCGGGAGGCAAAGTCGTCCATCTTCTTCTTGGGGTCAAACACAAACTGGACAGAAGGGCACACACATAACATTACAGAAGGCTGTCTGACAGGGCGTGCCCAGATATTGGCTCAGTGGTGGAGTTTGTACCACCTCGCAATCACACTGGCACTCTTGAGCGGGCCAAGCTGTTGCGCTTGTCTCTTCACAAACGCTAAAGTGGCAGGACAAAATCCCGAAGAGGTTAAAAGCCAATGCACTGGTCAGCGTCCTCTTATATGGTGCTTGATGTTGGCTTTTTGCAGAAACGAAACACATGTCTAAATATTCCTACCCAAAAACCTCCTACTTAGCCATCCAAAGTGCTCGCCACTCACAAAATCTAGCGATAGATGACAGACAGGAAACAATCACAAAGCCTTACCTCCATCCGTTTTGCACTGGAATTGTCATCTGCAGCGCCTGGCCCACTCCCGTTTTCCGCCTGGCACGTACACAACCCTCTCTGAGCTTTGGCACGCCGCTTGGATGATGAGGGTCTCTTCAGGGGCGCATCAAGAGACCAGCGACTGCAATCCAATCTGGCAGCCCTTAAGCCCTGTACATGCGCTTTCTGGAGTTGAAGTGCGCTGCTCTGTGCAATGCTGTGAGCTCCATCTCTGCTCACTAGCCTTCCCGTTGGTTCTTTTCTGCGACACTGCAACAAGATTCCTCTACACTGCGTTATTGGGGAAGGCTGAGCATTTTTCAAACCTTGAAAGACCCCTGAGAGCGGTCTGACAGGGCGAATTCCAAGCGATGTTGCCATGGTGAGAGATATGCGTCCCTGCCAGCAGACTGCCTGATGTAGGCTCTGGCAAGGACGACGGTGCTTTCACTGTCAGCTTCCTATAATTTAGTAAAATATGCTCCTCCTTACAGCAATGTTTCAGCTGCTCAGCTGTTCAGAATGAATTCCAATGTCTCAGCTGCTCTTCTTCACTGTCAACTTGCATTTGCGGCGAAGAGGCCAAGCTAGCCCACTTTCACCATTTTCAAGACTGCACGTCTTTAGGGTTCAGCCGCTCTAACTAAAATACAGTAGCCTTTTGGGCTTTTAGGGTTTGAGCCTTGGTTTTCATGTAGCATGCTCGTCTTCAGGAATCAGCTCTCCGGCTAGCTAGCTAGCTTGATGCTAATCTGCCGCCTGCCCATTTCTGCGGTTCTGCTGGCACCAGCTCCCACCACTGCACGAGCCTCTTACTCTGACTGCGCAATCTTGTGCACCTCTGCGTTAAAATTCCGCCAAAAAAAGCAGCTCGCATCGTGCAGGGGCACAAATGCCTGAGTAGTCGCACATGAGCAGGAAGGCACATGCTCTTCTCCTTAGCTTGCCAACAACGGCCCTGCTACCACATTTGATCCCTCTGCGCTAGTCTCCTTAAGTGATTTATACTGGGCCTTTGTAACTTCAGCCAGTGGTGGTTGCTCTTCTGCCATCCTCACCAGGAGCGATGCAGGATGCAGGCACTGCTGCGGGGGTGGTGGTCAAGGTGCGTGCCCGCTCTGCCTCTCCACTCGCCCATTGACAAGGCCGCGCAGCCTGCTGTGCCGGGCCCCCGTTCAGCTGCCACACGCTGTGAGGGTGGCTTTGCCTCTGGCGCTGGTCCTGGCGCAGCGCTGAGCTGGACAAGTGTCGCGCTGAGCTCACTTATGATGTGGCGCAGGACCTGGTGCTGCTGGGGGGCGGTCACAGCCACGTGCACGTCCTGAAGAGCTTCGCCATGCAGCCCCTGCCCGGCGTGCGCCTCACGCTCATCACCCGCGACGTGCACACCCCCTACAGCGGCATGCTCCCCGGCTACGTCGCAGGTCCGTCCTGGGCCACCAGCGGGCATCTCGGTCAAGTCTTCCAGGGTTGCCCTATGCTCATCCCTAAGAAGGGAGGCTCATGCGTGGGCCCCTGTCTCTCCAAGCTTTCAGTCCGTGCTGTTAGAGATCCTCTCACAGGCGACTGGCTCCTTTGATGGTCGCCCATACAGCTCATCCCACCTCCCTCCGCTGTTGGCCCCCCCTCGCCCCAGCCTGTGCCCCTCCTCCCCGTGCCAGGTCACTATGAGTACGATGACTGCCACGTGGACCTGCGCCCCCTGGCCCGCCTCGCTGCAGCGCGCCTGCTCCATTGTACTGCCACCAGCCTGGACCGCGACTCCCGCCTCGTGCACCTTCAGGGGCGGCCCCCCATCCCCTATGACGTTCTCTCCATTGACATTGGCATCACGCCGCTGCAGGTCAGCCCTTATCCAATCAAGATGGCATGTTCCGAATCTGGAGCCCTGATGCTAGGTCAGGCCTGCTCTACTTGCCAACGTGGCCGCCAGGTGAAAGCGGCTCTTTGTTGACGTGTGAGTCTTGGTGTGCCAGGACGTGCCCGGCAGCAGCGAGCACACCACGGCGGTGAAGCCCATTGACTCCTTCACAGCGCGCTGGGCGGATCTGGCGGAGCGTGTGGTGGCGTCGGCGGAGGCGCTGTGCGTGGCGGTGGTGGGCGGCGGGGCGGGCGGCGTGGAGCTGTGCCTGGCCATGCAGCACGCGCTGCAGCAGCGGCTGCGCCAAGCGGGCAAGGACCCGGGGCGGGTCACCTTCCGCCTGCACACGCGCGGCCGCCTCCTCGCGCAGCACCCCCCCAGAGTGGGGCGCATCTTTGCCAGGATCCTCAAAGAGCGAGGTGAGGGCGCACCCCCGGGCGACGCGGGGCCAACGGTACGCGCAACCCAGAGAACATCTCCCCCTCGACCTTCAGAGAGACCTGTCAGACTGGGATTGCAGGTGCTCCTTCCGCCCGGCTCGCATCGCCTTAGTCTGACACACAAACAAGGCAGGCAACCGAGTGCCTAATGCACAAACTTAGTGAAACATTTGTTTGATGCATAGGAAGGTGTTCTTAAAGCCTCTTTAGGCTTCCACATCTGGGTTTACTTATCTGGAATTTGGGAACCCCCTTGGTTCGCAGGTGTGGCGGTGGTGGATGGTGGCGTGGCTGCGGTGCGCGCGGGCGAGCTGGAGCTGGTAGGGGGGGCCGTGCTGCCCTTCTCCGAGTGCATCTGGTGCACGCAGGGCGGCGCGCAGCCCTGGCTGCACAAGACGGGGCTCGCGCTGGACGCGGCCGGCTTCATCGACGTGGACGCCACGTTGCGCTCCACCAACGACCCCGCCGTCTTTGCCGCGGGGGACATCCACAGCAGCAAGCAGTACCCGCGCCCCAAAGCGGGCGTCTACGCCGTGCGCCAGGTCAGCGCATAACGCACAGAACGAATGCACACATCCACTTGAAGCGGAATTGTGAGCAAGGGACGCGGTGGTTGTGTCATCGGGCCGGTTGTTGCCAGGGCACATAGGGGATGTTGACTTCAAAGCGAGCTCAACGATCAAATCTTCGTCAGAATACGGATGCTGCCCCAGGCTTCTTTTTTCCATGACAATGGGCTGATTCATTAGTCGATGTTCGGACCCCGAAAGTAAGACGCGATGGGACGAGCTCAATCAAAGCCAGCCCAGCTCCAATTGTAACGCCTTCTAGATTCAGAAGTGGGCCTCTGAGGCCCTCTCACCTTGCCGCACCCTGGACGGGACGTTGCAGTGGCTACCAGCATGTGCTGCCGTAGTCTGCTTGCCTCTTCGAGGGCGATGGTTCCTCCGTAACTTCAGGTCCTGACGTCCCTTTTCCTGCCCGTGCGTGTGGCCAGGGCCCTCCGTTGGCGGCCAACCTGCGGCGGAGCCTGCTGGGCCAGCCGCTCCGCCCGTTTGTGCCCCAGAGCACGGCGCTGGCCATCATCAGCACGGGCAACAAGTACGCCGTCGCCTCCAAAGGCGGCTTCGCGCTCGAGGGCGCCTGGCTCTGGCCCATCAAGGTCAGCCGCACGCCCAGGCCAGGGAAAATCCACGAGGGAACGTTCGTACATCCTAGGCGTTTGCTCGATCGTCTTTTCTGTCATCCCCTTTAAAGCACTTTGCTTGTGGCTTGCCCCTCCTCTTTAAATGTATGTATATCTGCACGCGCGCCTGCCTGCAGGACTGGATCGACCGCCGTTGGATGGCCCTCTACTCGCACCTCCCCCCAATGGCGCTGCCCGCCCCGTCCCCCTCTGAGGTGGCCTCTGCTGCGGGGCCTGCTGCGGTGGCGGCCGTGGGTGCGGCGCGCATGCGGTGCGGGGGATGCGGAGCCAAGGTGGGCGCGCCCGTGCTGCAGCGCGTGCTTGCCCGCCTGGACGCGCCCACGCGGCCCGAGGTGAGCGCCGACACTGCACCACGAACGGAACTGACAGGGCAAGCGCTGCCGCGCGCTCCTAAGGCCCCAATGCAGGGCCGGCTTCGTCGTCAACGGGCTCACAGGTTGGCGAGTCCGCTGGCATGTTGCTTCCCGAATCGTGTTGCTGCTTGCAAGTGCTGTGCGCAGCTATCCTCCCTCATCGCTTCGCCCTTCCTGGTGCTGGGATAGCGGTGCCGCAGTTTTGATTCGTGGTGGCGGCCGTGCAGGTGGTGGTGGGCCTGGGCGACGACGCGGCGGTGGTGCGGCTGCCGCCCGGCACCGTGGGCGTGCACACGGTGGACGTGCTGCGGGCCCTGGTCGACGACGAGTACACCTTTGGCGCCATCGCCGCCAACCACGCGCTGGGCGATTGTTACGCCATGGGCGCGCAGCCGCTCTCCGCCCTCGCCATCGCCACCCTCCCCTACGGCCTCGACTCCAAGGTTAGCTGCCGCACGCTCGCAGGCGCTCACACATGTGCGGGCCAGGTCCGGGCGTGGTTTCAGGGCCGTGCTGCGTGGGGCCGTGCTGCCCCCGGCCTGGTGCGTTGTGGCACGAGTAGTGACGCGGTGCGGCGCGTGCCTGGCTGCGCGTGCAGGTGGAGGCGGACCTGTTCCAGCTCATGGCGGGCGCGGCCAGCGTGTTGCGCACTGCGGAGTGCGCGCTCGTGGGCGGCCACACCAGCGAGGGCGCCGACCTGGCTCTCGGCTTTGCGGTGAGAGGCCCTGCGCGACCGTCGTTGCGCCCAGCGGTAGCTGCCAAGGAAGGCAACGAGCCGTCAGCATTGCTCGCAACGACATCGCTGTCACCTCCTTGCCCGGCCGTGCTTCCACCCCCTGCACTGTCTAACGCCTCGGTGCGTGGGTGCAGGTGCACGGCGCGGTGGCGGAGGCGGCCGTGCTGCGTAAGGGCGGCCTGCAGCCCGGGGACCGCCTGCTGCTGACCAAGGCCGTTGGCACGGGCGCGCTGTTTGCGGCGGACATGCGCGGCCAGTGCGCGGGGCGCGACGTGGACACCGCCGTAGCCTCCATGCTGCAGTCCAGCAGGGAGGCGGCGGCCGCGCTGCGCAGCGCGGGGGCGACGGCCGTCACCGACGTCACCGGCTTCGGCCTCCTGGGTAGGCCCTCACGCTGCCTGCTCACAACCGCGCGGGCTGAGGGCGCAGCCCATTGCTAAACATTCGAGTGGCACTTTGTCCGACTCTTCTTCTCCGACATCCTCGTGTCGGTCTTCACCATAGATGCGCCCTGTGGCGTGCGCAGGCCACCTGGAGGAGATGGTGCGCGCCTCCGGCGTGGACGTGGCCGTGTCCCTGCCCGCCGTCCCGGTGCTGCCGGGCGCGGCCGCGGCGGTTGCCGCGGGGTACGTCAGCAGCCTGCACGCCAGCAACCAGTACGCAGCGGGCGCAGTCAGCAACCGCGAGGAAGCAGCTCAGCACCCGCTCTTCCCGCTGCTCACGGACCCCCAGACCGCAGGGGGCCTTCTCGCAGGCGTCCCCGCAGCAGCCGCCTCAGAGTGCCTGCAAGCCTTGCACCGTGCGGGATACACCGAGGCCGCCGAGATTGGCAGGGTGAGGCAACTCTCGCGGCGCCTGAGACACTACAGGGCACCTTGACTAACGCTTCGAAATCAGGAAATGAATGACGTCCGTTGCACTATCTTCCAGGTCGTAGTGATGATGTGCAAGCCGTCCTTGCAGGTGGTGGAAGGAAGTGGCAGCCCCATACCTATTGTCGTCGAGTTGACCCTTGTGCCCGCCAAGAACACCCCTACCAGTGACAATGAGGGAGGAGGGCCAAGCCAAGCAGTGGCGGGCCCCTAAGCTTGAGAATGTGGTTCTTGATCGTTGTCATCAGCATGCAGTTCTTACCAGTAGCTACTTGGATCAGTGTGCCTCCTTACGACTCAAACGAGAAATGTTGGCCACCTTTCGAATGACCTCCAAGCCGAGTCGCCTCCAATTCTGTATGATATGCTAGCGTTAAATGATCTTTTGGCCTCATATGCTGTGCAAACAAGGAAGTTCTGACAGTTTAAGAATCAAAGAGTTATCTAGTGGGCTGGGCACTAAGCTGTGATGTTCCGGAAAGCTCTTATATGGTCTTAGACAGTTGAAAGCGGTCCATACCACGAACTTTCATTTGCGAGTGAAGTTTGGCGGAATAGCCTTAAATCTAATCCAGACTTCTTTGTGAAACCTTTTGAATGTATGCCGTATGATTTGGCGCTGGTTTATGCTTCCAATTAGTTCCAAACTGTCGATCAAGAACTTCGCGACCTTCAGGTGCCGCGATCCGACTTATAAACCTTTGGAAAACATGTTTGGAAGCAAGCTTACGGTTCAATTAGATGCTTGCAATGCTCCATGCACGACGTTTCGCGACTTTTTCCGACTTTTTGCATCTTTTGTACGTCCGCGATCGCCGTCTTCCAAATTTCACCGCGATTCTGCGATCTCCGGGTCCATGCAGGATTAGTAGGCCTATGCTTATAGTAGTGTTAATTCAATGATAGCCGCATATCCAATTTTCTGACTCACTGAGTCAGCGCCAAGAACCATTTTGTGACGTATAATCAAAGGCTCGGGTTCTATTTTGGATCGACATGTCACGGTAAATTACTAAGGCCGGCCGCCTATATATATTTCCGTGCATGCACGATATTGACTCAGATTAAGCGCCTGGCCGGCCCTAGCAGACCAGACGTACGCGTTTCCGGCCGGTATGTTCGTCATGCGGTGTTGAAGCAAAAATCAAAATTTTATTGACGTGACAAACATGCATATTGCATTATATCGGCCTCGACATCTCAAGATCACTTGGTGTGCATGCACGCAAGTAAAAACCCTAAAACCTCTTGTCGGTGTACGGTTTTAGGGTTTCAGTACGTGTGCGCTTTAATTCAGATTTTGCAATTTGCGCGAAAATTTAGATTCAAACTTTGAAAATTTAAAATTCCGCATTTTTCGGATCTGATGTCATCTTTTGCGTTTTCGGGTGGAAAAGAGAGGGTTTTGAGGTACTTAGGCAACAAGTTGATGTAGTGCATTTGGGTACGCTCTCTGCGCTTTCAGAATCTGCAAAAAGTCCGAAAATGTCAGATTAGGGTTTTCGGGTTTTCATTTTTTTGTGTGATGACGTCATAAGTTGTAGTGTTTTGGGGCTTTA